ACGCACCCCCTCCCCGCGGCTGCCGGGCGCGCGGCTGGGGGCGCTGCCCGGGGGCGCCTCCCGAGGCGCTGGTGACGTGGGCACGCTGGAACCGGCACCGCCGCGCAGGGTCACTGGGATGCCGAGTTTTACGAGTTTTGCAATCTGCTGACTTCGGCGAGTCCCCTGTGAAGTGCAGAGGCTTTAATGGGGAAAAACCTGTCGGGGTGGCCCCAGGGACGCCATCCCTAAAGCTTGCTTTTGATGCCGCAGAGTCACCCGGGTGACCCCAGGGAGGGTCCGGAGAGGGGATTGGTGGGAGGCTTGGCGCTGAGTGGAGCTGCGGAAGGTCCAGGGCCGAGTGCGAGTCCCGCAGCGAGGAGGTTTGCCGGGCTCTGCAGGGTGGCCCCGGGGAAGGCGGCCTCAGGCGGGAGGGACTGTGTGGGTTAGAAGTTGATTTGGGGTTCTAGAGGCAGGAAAGTAACGTGGTGGGGAAGGTTGCCTCCAGGCAAGCGCCTGTGGTAGAAGGACACTTTTCCCCTCCTTCCTTGCAAGTTAGACTTTGGTTGGTCACTTCAGCACAGGGTGGAAAACCAGGCTGGCATTAAGTGTCAGGCCCAGGTGGATGTTTTAAAGATCTTTCTTTTAAATAACAGCCAGGTGGAGGTGTGTGTTAGCAGTGTTGCTGCTGCACTACTCCCGGGAGAGCTTTCACGTGTGCTCTTGTGTTGCGTCTTGGAACACTCAGGTAAAGGTGCCTTCCAGATATGTGGCCCTGTGGCACAGTGGTGGTTGCATGCTTCAAGGGTCCTCTTACAGATCTCTTGGGTTGGTTGGCTGGGCAGGGCATCTGGGATTCCTGCCTTGTCCCATTCTGTGGGGAATAGTGGAATATGTGAAGGGGATTGGACTTTGGCCAGAACTGGAACCCAGGTCCCCTGCCTACACTGTCTGTTACAGGCCAGGGGACTAGCCCAAATGGAAGCCATTAACCAAGGAGAGATCTTGGGGAGGAACTGTTTACTGCAGCTTGAATGAGAGATTTGATACCCACAGTGTGACTTGCTGTGGGCACTTGCTGTCCGGGAGGTGTGCCTCAGGCTCTGTTGGGCAAAGGGGTGGGGTGGTAGGGTGTGGATATCCGGAGGTCAGAGCGCCACATCGTCCAGTGTTCAGTATGGCACTGAACTGGGAATCACTAAAGGTTTTGGGCAGTAAATAAAATCCTACTCAAGGCCGAACATCTGAAGCATGTCTGGTTAGGTCAGAGTGCTGCCCAAGGCCAGAAGGGACAGGAGCAGGGTTGGAGCCTGAAGAAGGAAGTGGGTGGGAGAGATCAGGAGAAAACAGCTGCCTGGAGGAGCCAGGGCAATGCCAGCAAACTTCTCAGGGGCGTGATGGCCGCACTGCCCGCACTGCCAACCCTGGCCCCAGTGACCTCTCAGCTCACGTATGGCTCAACCTGCTCTTTAAAAAGGCAGAGAGATTGCCATCAGAACCAGTCAGAGCCTTAGTTTTTAAGGCTTCAACCAGGAGTTTCCTGCCACCTCCATCCCTTCTGATAATGCCAGGACAGGAGAGATATAGGCTGCATCTTGAAGAGTGGTCAGGTGGCTTCTTTTTGAGCTCTGCTGCCGAGGCTTCCTTGTGCCCATTGGTTGCTTTGCTTCTCTGTTGCGTTTCTCTGAAGAGGTCAGTAAGGCTGGCATTGTGTGGGTCTTGCTTGGTGCGCAAGCCGTTTTTTAAAGAGTGTATTTCACATGTCTCTTTCATCCTGGGGTGTTTTTGAGTAGGAGTGTATCGATTAGACCCATCTCTACCATCAGTGAAGGTGAACAAATTAAGCCCTGTGGATCCTGCTAAGGCTTCAGGGTCCCAAGCCTGCTGAATCTCCTAGTGCTTGAGGGGACATCAGGCTTGGTCAGAATCATGTTCCTGCAGTCCCGGAGTTATTTAGGATCATGTCTGTTAGCTAATTTTTCTTTTTTTCTGAACCAAATGATCTCTAGAAATAAAATATAACCAAAGATAACCTCTTGGGAGTTGACTGTAGTAGGTACTGTCGTATCGCTTTACACCTGTCATTTTGTGGAATCCTCACCACCACCCTGCTGCCAGGAGGTTTTCTAACTTCCCTATTTTGCAGATGAGGGGACTGAGGTACAGCAGAGTCCATTGAGTTCTCAATGCTAAGCTGTTAAGTCTCAGCTTGAAAGGAAGCCTCATAGTTGGCTCCAGAGCCCGAGCTGTTGACCACTGCCCTCTCCTCCTTTGAGACAACAGCTGGCAGCTGACCTGTCCTCAGCAAGAGCTTTCAGGAGCAACTCCTTCCTCATCACAGAGAGCCCAGGAAGGGGTCCCTGTTTCCTGGATGTTATGGGTCAGGAACCCGAGGTCCTGAGAGGTAGCGGCCCCAGGTCCCTCTGCTGGTCAGTGGAGGAGAGGCCTTCCTGCTAGCCTTTGGACACTGGACCCCAGGTGACATGACCTGGCACTGGCTGGAGCCCCACCCTTGGCCGGCATATAACTTTTGGGAGAACAAGTGTGCTGCCCGGTGTCTGACCTGCTTCCTTGTTCCGTTTGGCCTGGGAAAGGCATTTGATGACCTAACCCTGAACAGGCTCCTGGATGTGAGCCACTGACCTGCAGCCTGGAAAGGATGCACAAGCTCATGCTCCCTAGAGGAGCCCATTAAAATGCACAGGATATTGTTGGGCCTTGAATTATCACATAATGGTATTTTTGAAAGCTCACTGCTTGAGTAGGTAAAGAAATTATTTATAATATATTCAACGTGATTGATTGAAATTTCAGACTTCTTATTCTGTTTGCCCCCTCAGAAGTTTCTTTTCAAAACCCCTTCAATGGTAGGTTATTTAAAAAGCAAAGATTTAGTGAGGGAGTAGAGTGGCCTCCTTTCTTCCTGACCCTTACATGTTGGGTGCACATTTGTGGGTTCAGATCCCACCTCTACCTCCTGCTGCCTAGGACCCTCACCCTTCTGTTTTCCCATGTTTAAATGGCCTTGTAACACCAGTGCCCAGAAAGCTTCTAGCCTGATGTCAGGTAGGTGCTGCCCTGTCCTTCAGTCTGAAGCTCACGGAGGGGACTTCTTACACAGTGCATGTCCAGAGACACTGTGCCAGCGAGACTGAAATTTTTCACAATATGAAGTGGAGACACTGCGTGGAAACACCTGTACTCCAGGCTACTCAGTAGGCTGAGGCAGGGGGATCACTTGAGCCCAGGAGTTTGAAACCAGCCTGGAAAACATATCAAGACCCCATGTCAAACAAAGGAAAGAGAGGGATAAGAAAACACAACTGTCACTTTTAAAAACTTACATGATTGAGTGCTACCTTCTCACTACACCTTTTTAAACATTTTGCTTTTTATTTCAATTTCAACTCCCGACAACCCTATAAATGCTGGTTCTCTTTCCTGCAATGAGGCCCTGGGAGGTGGCTTTAGCTTGCCTGCAGCTGTGGTGTTGGAAAGTGGGGAGTGTGGCTGATGGACACAGGCCAGCACCTTGGTTAAGGAAGAGATTGTTTTTATGCCAATTGTGAAAAAATAAAACCTTAACTAAAACGTGAGAATGGACTGAGGGATTTTAAAATCCTGTCCCGCTGCACAGATCCTAATTAAGTTCTCTAGCGGGAAATCTACATTTTCAGTTGAACAAGTAGCAAATTACTAGTAATATTTTTGGTCATAACCACCTACTGTTTTGGTGACTTGATGAGAAAAATATGTCTTGGTAACAAGGCTTCTGCCTCCTGGGTGCCATCTCTGGCCTAGCGCTGTCATTGGGGTGCTCTAAGGTGCTTATTTTTCCCTTCCATGAAGGCTGGTACCCTCCTTCATTCTCTGCCCCAAGAATCCTGCCTGTCTGCAGTCTACTGCCTTGAGGCCTGCATGAGCTGGGCACACTGTGCGCTGGACTCCCACCCTCTGCCAGTGCTGTTTGGTGGACTCTGTGGAGGCTGGCATGGGAGGCAGAAATGCGTAGTGAGTGTGTAATGCTGTCTGCAGGGGCTCCGAGGTGCTTGACTGGCCTAATGGGGCTCTCCAGCTGGCTGAGCGCGTGTGGCCCTGAGGTCTGTGGTGGGTGCCGGGCTGGCCTCTTGTAGTGAAGTGGCATGGACCTGCTTTGCCTACCTCAGATGGAAGGGGAAGCTGGAGCCACCAACACCATAAAAAGTCAACTTGGGAGAAGACAGATGTTGTGGTTCAGTGTTTGACAGTTTATCATGGCAGGGAACATAGTGGAACTCCAAGGAATAGACTAGGGAAGAGCGAGTGGGAAAGGTGAAGTCATTGGACACCCACTGCTCGGGCATGTGCTGGTCAGGGCAGGAATCAGGGAGGACACGGATGTTGATGGATGTGGATCATCCGTGATAAAGCCCTGAAACAGGCTTGGGCACTGAGTCCTGCAGGTGGGTAAATGGTTGCTTTCTCTCAGGGTGGTTGGGGTGCCTCACCTGAGGCAGATTGCCGGCCAGGATGGAGTAACAAATCAGTGGCAGCAGGTGGGCAGCCCGATGGCAGGGATAGCTGACAGCTGCCAGTTATTCTGAAAGGGACAGTCCCGGGTGCCTAGAGAGAGGAGGTTATCTACACCTGAACAACTTGGTATTTAGAGTTTCATTTTTAAATTTTGGATATTTGTGTTGTGTATATCCATGGGAAATTTTTGGTTTTGTTAGATTATTTCATGAAAAGTGACTTAGCTCCTGCGGGTAAATGATCCCAGATGTCCCTTCCTTGGGACATCCCAAGCAATCCCTTGGGAAATGGTGATGACTGTGCCTAATGAGGGAAAGATAGGACTTGCAGTGACTCAGATTATGACTGCAGTTTGGGGGCTAGGAAATTTGTATTTTTAAGCACCCCTGAAATTGAGGTTAGTTAATAAGAAGCCCAAAGAGTCCAAGGGGATGTTCTCTTTCATTGCATTTGGAAGCTCTTCTAAGGCCTGGGGGTTCTAGCTAGGCCAGGAATTAGAGCACATGTCAAATGCCTAGTGTGGAATGAAGCCCGGGCCTGCAGAGGAAGGAGCTGCCTGGCCCAAGATGAACAAGCCAGAAGAGGTGGCAGGTATGCAGGAGGTCCCCGCCCTGCTTAGCTGGGCAGAAGACTTCCCCTTGACCCCCTGGGTGTAGTGGGAAATGCTGTCCCTGGCATTTCACCTGTGCTTGAGGAACTACACAAGCACTTTGGAAATGCAGTGGAAGTGGAGTCAGTGTGAATGCCTGTCGGGTGCCAGGCCTGGCAGGCAGGTGGTACTTGTCTTCAGGTGCTCAGCTGTATAGTGCAGACACACCTGTTGTGGTGGCGAGATGGGGCAGTCACGAGAGACGGACACAGTGTGCCTGAACTTGGAAGAGGATTTAGACAAGCTGGCAGGGAGAAAAGAGCCTTTTGATCAGGAAACAGTGTGAGGGCTAATCTGGAGTCAGGCAGGTGCGTGCAGGGAGGTAGGAAGATTGGATTGGGATTGTAGGGAAGGACTTGGGGGACCTCAAGTGCCCTAAGGAGGAGCCTACACTTGCCTAGTTGGTGGGGAGCCACCCCAGGCTTTACAGGGGACAGGCTGTATGGGGGCTATAGTAACAACAACCAAGAAGCTGGGAGGCAGTGGCAGTAATCCGGGTGGGAGTTCCTGAGGACCTGCTAGGAATGGAGGGGACTTGGGAAGCAGGGACTTGCCTCTTGTGGCTGTGTGGGATGAATAGGAGAGGACATGCCAGATGACTCAGAGGTTTTAGGAAGTGGAAATGGAGAAAGGATTGAGGCAGGAAGTGGAGAGTGGGTACAGGATTTCCGTTGTGTTCTTCAGTGAGTTTTGTTTTAAACGTATGGACCATAAAGAAGTATATAGGACGTCTGAGTGAGGATATTTTGGGGACACTATTTTAGAGTGAGGGCAGGGTGCACAGGGATGGTTCCTGAAAGTAGGAAGGACAATTAGAGGGGAAGCAGATAGCCAGTGTTTGGAGAACCATGAGCATCTGGGGCTGGAGAATTTCAAGAAGACATACAAGGCATTGAGTGGACATGAGGACTGGGCAGGCTGGTGGCTCAGAGGCCTCTTGAAGGTGGACTTTGCAGTTTTCTGCAACCCAGTTTGGCCTCTAGTGGTTGTAGAAGTGTCCTCCAGTTGGTCTGATCATAGAGGGTGACGGGCTGTATTGGTCACTGAGACTTGCCTGCCTTGACCTAGGTCCGCGTGGTGGTTAGGAACACTTGGCATTTCAGCGGGAGGTGACTTTGGCTGGAGGCAGAGCTGTCAGTTGTACCCAGGTCAGGACAGCAGTCCATGCCCCGGGTGTCGCCATTGGGCTGGTCTCCCCACAGCAGAGATGGGCTAGTTCTGGCAAAGCTTGCTCACTTCTCTCTTTACCGTGGCTTCTCAACGTTTTTGTTGTTCTGCTGCGAGCAACAGTGGAGACCTGAGGTTTGTCTTAGCTGGGGCAGTGTTCCTGGGCCTTCAGGAGTCTGTTTTTGGGGTCAGAGGTTTTAGATGAGAAGTTAACAGTAGAGGGAACCATGGAGGGATCCCAGGCACAGTCTAGGGGCCATTCCTGGCCGTTGGTGGCCCTGTAGGCTGCAGAGGGTCTGGACGCAAGCCTTCCAGAGTGTGGGAGGGCTGAGAATGTTTGCTGCTTGTCAGGACACAGACAACGAACGGAAAGCAAGGCCTGTGGCTACTCTTCTCCAGCCTGCTGACCAAGTGTGGGCGGCTGTGACCTGGGCGTGTGAGCTAAGAGATTTGCTTTCTGTGTCTTTTTTCCATTGACTTGGGTGACTGTTGGAAATTTTCTAATTAACCTGGGTTAAGTGTAAGTTTTAAGATAAAAGACATGATGGGTTACTTTTTTTCCTTTTCTTTTCGGTGGCACTGGGGATTGAAACCAGGGATGCTCTACCACTGAACTGTATCACCAGGGCTTTATTTTTTATTTTGAAACAGGGTCTTGCTAAGATGCTGAGGCTGGCCTTGAACTTAGGATCCTCCTGCTTTGGCCTCCTGAGCCACTGAAATTACAGGCATGCGCCACTATGCCTGGCTCCTTGAGTCTTCTGAGGGGCAAGGAAGCATGTCACCTGGGCGGATTGCATTTGACCTGTGCTGTCATGCCCCGTTCTGATGTCTTTATTCAGCCTTTGTTCTCATATGCTAAGTCATGGTGCTTTTAGGATGTTGATAATGTATTTTAAATGTTGAAGTTTTCTAAATATTTTTTTAGTTGTAGATGGACACTGCATCTTTTATTTATTTATATTTTATGTGGTGCTGAGGATCGAACCCAGTGCCTCACATGTGCAAGGCAAGTGCTCTACCACTGAGCTCCAGCCCCAGCCTCTAAACATTATAGTTTAAACTTAATTTAAAATATAATTATTCTGTTTCTCTTGAACTTGGGATCCTCCTGCTTTGGCCTCCTGAGTCACTGAAATTACAGGCGTGAGCCACTGTGCCTGCAGGTGTGCCTTCACCCTGTGCTTGGGGAGCTCTCAGTGTTGCTCTGGGTTGGGCTGCTGTGGGGCATGGTTCTCCTGAAGGGAGCATGATGGGGGAGCTCATGAATGGCTATGCATGAGTTCTCCAAACAAGTTCATGTTCACACGAGAGTGGCAGCTTCCTGGTGGCAGCATCTCTCATAATCTGGCATTTGTCAAAACACCAGTACAGTACTAATAACTCTATTTCATTTCCCCACCATCCAGTCCATTGAGCTTGGTGTAGTTTTTTCTGTGTGAAAATGCCCTGTGTGTTGCCTAGAAATCTTCCCTTCTTCAGAATGTAAACAGAAATGTATTCAGCACCCCGAGTGAGGAACCTGAGGAATAGCTCCACACCTGGTAACGCAGGGACAGAGGAGATGCTTGTTCTCCTGTGGGTGTCAAGTTTGAACTTGGTCGCGCTTTCCAGAGCCTCCCTCCAGGGGAGTGGCAGGTGCTGCCAAAGGACAGAGTTATCATCTCCAGAGTGTTTCCCGCTCTGTAAATCCGAGGGACTGGGCTCCGTCCTGGAGACCATTTCCAGCTGTAATGCACGAGGCTCTCCGAGTTGGGATCTGGCTCCTTCACCAGCTTCCATCTGCGCCAGGCAGGTCGTTTGTGGGTCAGAGTTTGGACCTGGATTTTCACTGGGTCTGTCATTCAGTCAACCCCATGACCCTGACCTGAAAGTCCATGGGGCAGAGTACACATGCACCGGGCAGTCAGCAGGGCCACGTCAGAGTGGCCGTGGCTCCCAGGCCTCACCTTCGCCCTGAGACACATGGCAGAGTGGTAGCCTCCTGCCTGGCAGCTGGAGTCAACGGGGGGAGGAGGCAGGTTACTCATGGCATGCCTCTGTGCACAGGAGTCGGTGACCTTTCCCTCATTCTTGGCCACGCCTGTCTCAGGCGTGAGAGAGTCAAGTCCACTGTACTGCTCCTGGCTCCCAAGGCCAGGAAGCATGGGGACTGTGGACACACAACAAAGCAAGAGCCAGCCTGGGCTCCTCCCTGGTCTGTGGTGCTTCTTGAGGGTTCAGGCAGGGGCAGGCCAGCCAAGTCCACCTGCCGTCTCTTTGTAAGTGAGGTTAAGTTGAATTGGAACACAGACAGCTGTGTTCATGGGACGCCTTGGCCACCATGAAGGCTGAGCCAAGTGCTCTGCAGAGGCAGGGTTACCAGAAGTCCTCAGACCTTGTTGTCCGTCTGAAAGGACTTTGCGGGGATTTCCAGGGGAAGATTTGTGCCCCTCTGCGTTTCCTTCGGACAGTGGGTGGGGAACTGTAGGTGTGCTTCCACATTGGTGTAAATTGTGTCAAAAGCAGACTCAGCCATGAAGGTCAGCTGCTCTTCACTAGGACGGGGTTTCAAAGGAGGGACCCTGCATTTGTGGAAGCCAGATGCAAACGAGCTGTGGTCCCTGGCGTTCTTTTGGGGCATGTCTGTGACATACCTGTGACAGCTCGAGTTGAACATGTGTGAGTGAGTGAGTCAGGCTTCTTAAGGTCACATTGGGGCTCTGCTCTGGCAGCTGGAGGTGGGATTTGTGAAGAAGGTTTGAGCCCACCACCTGGTGACATGTGACCTTGTGGAAGCAGAAGCCACAGCACGTTCTGCCACAAGGGCTGGATTTAGCCTGTCCTGTGCAGGCCAGGATGGCAGGGGCTGACCTGGGACGTGCAGGATGGTCTGATGTCTTTGGGACTGCTTTGTCAGGGAAGGTCACAGGTTTCAGAACAGGTGTCCTTGTGAGGTGAGGGCTGGGTGGGGGGAGGTGGGCGGATGAGGCCAGTGTGGCCTTTCGGGCCTGGCAGGGGCTGGCATGTGCGCTGTGCGGCCGTCCTCCTGTGGCTCTGTGGGTCACCCCGCTCTGCTCTGCAGGTTGGCACCCATGCGGCTCTACACGCTCTCCAAGCGCCACTTTGTGCTCGTGTTTGTCGTCTTCTTCCTCTGTTTTGGCCTGACTGTCTTCGTTGGGATCAGAGGTAAGTTCGGTGTTTAATCGTTCCATTATCTCGCCTTCACGGCCGCCTTGGCGTGTTGCCTCTCAGCCTGCCCAGCTGCACCCCTTCGTCCCACCAGGCCCAGTGTGGACGGAGCCAACAGGCCAGAAGAGGCCTCTTCCTGCACCTCTTCTCCTGGGGGAGGCGCAGTGAGCAGCTGAGTGACCCTGGCCATGCCCCTCATAACAGCCAGGCCTCCAGGTCAGCCTTTTGTCAGCACCTTTTAGTGGCCAACAGACCCTTCTTGAGTCTGTTGGCACTGTGCTGGGCAGTCCAGACCTGCTGCCCCAGGGGATGGCAACCTACAAGTCCTGATGCAGTGAACGGGGGTGGGGTGTGATTGATGGCACAGAGCAGGGGCGGTGCGGGGAGCAGGGAGGGGCTCTAGTGACACCCTGAGCCCTCAGCAGGGCCCCACGAAGGGTGCTGGCAGCCTCATGGTATCCAAGTGGGAGTGTGGGGATCTGCCTTCGCCCTTGCCTTCAGTCACCCAGCTGCAAGGTGTTTGGGGGGAAAGCCACACCAGGAATTTGGCCTTGAAAGTGCTTTGGAATCTTCTAGGTAGGCCAGGCTCCTCTCCCACAGACAGAGAACAGAACCACAGAAGCAGAGTAGTTCTCCGTGGTTCTCACAAGGTTTCTAGAAACCCTGGAGTCTTCAGTCTGCCTGAAGGATGGGCAGCAGGACCCCGATGTGGTTGGAGAGTGCACCTCTTCATTTTCTTTTAAGTAAACTGTCATTGTCTTTGAGGGTGGTTTCTGGTGGCCCTTGATTCCACCAAAGCACTAACGCTGCAGTGTGACAGTGATGCTTGGCCTATCCCAGGGGCACTTGTGCCTCAAGAGCCCCTTTCCTACCTAAACCGACATTCTGTTGGTGAGAGGGCTGGGGAGGCTGGGGAGGCTGTTCTGCTGCTGCTCTGTTGATGGTGGTGATGATGCTCAGGTGAGAGCTGGTGGTGTTCGTTCTAGTTGGAGGGAGGGAGGGAGGGAGGGGGAGAGAGAGAGAGAGAGAGAGAGAGAGAGAGAGAGAGAGAGAGAGAGATTGATTCTCCTTAAGCCATATTGTTCTACTAGGCCTTCAGTAGATTTCAGGAGGCTCACCCCCAGCAGGGAAGGGGTCTGCAATCTGCTCACTTAGTCTACTGATTCAAATATCAATCTCATCCAGGAATTCCTCACAGACACAGTAGAATAATGTTTAGTCAAGTATCTAGGCCCCCTGTAGCCCAGTGAAGTTGACACATAAAATTAACTATCATAAGTACTCTGTTCCTAATCACTTTATGTGTCAAGGTTATTATTTATTTTAGAGTTAAGAGTACTTAAGGGACCATTGGGTTAGTCCCCTCATTTTGCGAATAAGGAAATTGAGACTCAGAAAGCCTAGTTAGCAAAGAGTAGAGTCCAGGTTCTTCTGATTGCCATTTCTTAATTCTTTCCTGGAAGCCAGACTGCCTGGTTAGGAGTTCACTCAGACTGTGAATCTATTTAAAAGAAGCCTGATTCTGAATGCGGGCCTCCTTCCTACAGGGAGTCTTGCTTCTCAGCACTTTCCAGAGACATATCCCTGTGCTAGTTGAGGTATACACACCAGCATTGTCTGCAGTGAAGTGGAGGATTATTGGTAGCAGGCTGGGGTGGTCACAGAGGCACCCCAGGAAACTGGCATCATGTCTCAGAATGATATGTTTTAGAGCAAATCCATTTCTCAATTACATTAAAATCAGATTTACAGTGTCTCCTTTGACTATTTCTTTTAAGTCCAAAGTTCTGGAGGATTATGACAAGGCTAATAAAATTTTGGAGAGGATTTTGGGAAAGTGGTGGAATAGGAAGGAATTTGTTTAGATGACAACTGCAGTGGCAGAATCTATGTACCTGTTTTGGAGCTCGAGTGCCAGTTGAAGGCTTGCAACTCCCAGTGTAGGATTAGAACCATAAATTGTGGCTAATTTCAGTCAATGCAGCTCTTAGCACTATATAGGGGCCCATTGCCCACCAAGCCCTAAAACAGTTAGCTGTGTATGTGTTCTTGGAACAACCTGTGTATAGCTTATGGGACTCAAGATGGGCAAAACGACCCTGTTCTCTTAATATTGGGGATTGTGCTGTAATTGTTGGATTATTGCTTCTGATCACAGAGATACAATGAGGTGGGCATCCGTTGTTATTTCACTCCCTTCCTTTTGGGAGCCAGATAAAAAGCCAGGAGATTCAAAAACAACTATATATATAGGGAAATTGAGAAGTCATCATACCTGCCCAAGGAAGGCACAGACTCAGAAAAGACCCAAGAAGACCCTAAGTTTATACTTCAGACTGATCCTTAGCACAGAGACAGTCAACAGTAGCCATATCAACAAAACCAAAAAACTCTAGGAAAGGGGGAGAGTCTAATTTTCAGGGGTAACTTGTTATTTGATTTAAGTGTCCAGTTTTCAACAGATAATCATAATGCATAAAAAAGTATTGACTCCTTGAAAGAAACAAAAGAAAACACAAAAATCCGTCACTAAGGCCATATGCTGATCTCCTAGTCAAAAATCAAGAAAACTTCTTAAAGATGCTGAAAGAACCAAATGAAGATGTGGAGAAAGTCCAGGAAACAGCATTTGCATAAAATGGAAATATCAATAAAGATCTAGACAATCTAAAGAGAAGCCAAAAAGAAATTCTAGAGCTGAAAAGTACAGTAATGAATAAGTGAAAAATTTACTAGAAGAATTAAAGGGAAGATTTGAGTAGGTAGAGGAAAGAACCAGCAAATTGAAGATAGGGCAATGGAAATTTTTGAGCCTGAGGAAAAGAAATAAAAGTGATTAAAGGTCAGTGAGCACATGGGACACCATCAAGTGAACCAACGTACATGTCATGGGATCTCTGAAGCACAAGAGGGAGAGAAAGGGGGCAGAGAGAATATTTGAAGAAACAATGTCTGAAAACTTCCAAAATGGGCTGAACTCAAAGACACCCACACCAAGACACATTGAAATCAAATCATAGGAAGCTAAAAACAGGAGGAATCTTGAAAGCAGCCCCAGAGGGACTCCTCACCTTCGAGAGATCCTTGGTAAGGTTGTTAGCAGAGACCGCACCAAAGCCTGTTTGAGGCCACAAGGCACTGAGCTGAAATGTTCAATGTGCTAAAAGAGCTATCAATGAAGAATCCTGTATCTGGCCACTGTCCTTTAAAAGTGAGGAAGAAATGAAGACTTTCTCAGATAAACAGAAGATGCGGGAGTTGTTCCACTAGAACTGCCCTGTAAGAATTGCTGCAGGGAGGACGGCAGGTTGAAATGAAAGGGCACTAGGCAGGGACTTGAAGCCGCAGGATGGCAGTAAAGGCAGTTCCAGGGGTGGTGATAAAAGCTCGTGTTACTCTGACAATATAGTATGATTGCACTTTTTGTTTTCTGATGATCTAAGACAAATACATTTTCAAAACCAATTATTAGCATAAAAGCTAGTATTATTAAAACTTTTATCTGTAACTGTTCTGTTTTCTACATGATTTAAGGGACTAAGGTGCTAAAAATATTTTGGTTTTAGAAATAAATAATATATTTATATATATGAAAACAATTGTCACAGTTGAGACATCAATCATTAAAGAGGTAGGGACAGAGTTGTTAAAAGGAGCAGAGTTTTTGTATATTATTAATGTCAAGCTGGTATAAATACAAATTAGAATGTTACAACTTTTGAATATTGGGACAAAAAGCTATGAGACATAGAATATGAATGCATAGAAACCCAAGGCATACAGAAAACAAAGTGACAGAAATGGATTAAACTGTCTAATCAAAAGTCAGTCTTAGGGCTGGGGTTGTGACTCAGTAGTAGAGCGCTTGCATAGCATGTGTGAGGCACCGGGTTTGATCCTTAGTACCACGTGAAAATACATAAATAAAATAAATGTATTGTGTCCCATCTGCAACGAAAAGACATATGTATTTTTATTTATTTTATATAGTTTATGTGTGTATATATATATTATGTATTATATATTATTTTGTGTGAGTGTGTGTGTGTGTGTATGTGTGTAAAGATTAAAAAAACAAAGATTTAGGCAGAGTGGATTTTAAAAAACATGACCCAGGGCTGGGGCTGTAGCTCAGCTGCAGAGCACTTGCCTAACATGCATGAGGCACTGGGTTCAATCCTCAGCACCACATAAAAATAAACAAAATAAAGGCATTCTGTCCATCTACAATAAAACAAAACAAAAACCAAAACCAACATGATCCAGATGATATTTTGTCTACAGGAGATGCATTTTAAATCCAGAGACACAGGTTGAAGTGAAAAGGTGGAAAAGAATATTCCATACAAATAGTACCAAATGACCCATTAATTCTACTTCTGGGTATGTATTCAAAAGAACTGGCCAGGCGTGGTGGAGCCTGGCTGTAATCCCAGCTACTTGAGAGATGGAGGCAGAAGGATTATAAGGTTTAGGCCAGCTTGGGCAATTTAGCAAGACCTTAACTCAAAATAAAATAATAATAGTTTTAAAAGAGCTAGGTTACCTGTATACTCAGAAAAATGAGATATCCCATCTGATTCAAATGTATGACATATCAAGGTCATTGTACTGTCACTGTAACTAATTAAAACAAATAAAAAATAAATTATATAAAATTAAAAAAATAAAAATAAAAAAATAAAAGGGTTAGGGATGTAACTTTGTGATAGAGCACTTGCTTAACATGTCTGAGGCTCTGGATTCAGTTCCCAGTATGGGGGGAAAAATATGAAGGCAAGACCTTGGGATATTTGTATACTAATGGTCAATTATTTATGATACTAAAATTGTGGAATCAATTTAAGTGTTCATTGACAGATGAATAGATAAGCAAAGTATGATATATACTATAATGAAATATTAATCAACCTTAAAAAAGTAAGAAAATTTAGATAATTGCAATAACATGGGTGAATCTTCAGGAAATCAAGTGAAATAAGTCAGTCAAAAGGACTACTTATATGATGTGCCAAATAAGTTCTACTTACATGGATGTGGAGAAGTCAGAAAGTGGAATGAGGAATTATTGTTTAATGGGGGAGAGAATTTCAGTTTTACAAGATAGGTATGAAGATGGGGTGATGATGGGTGCACAACACAAATGTACTTAATACTGCTGAAATACACTTAAAAATGGTTAAAATGGTAATTTTATGTTGTGTTCTTTTATGCTTATATTAGTATATATTTGTCTTACTATATCCCCTACTTAATATTTCTGAAAGATTGGACTAATTGGATAAACATAAAAGTGCCTTAGGTCTTTTGGAAGAAATCCTTATGCTTTCCAAAATATGTAGTGATTATGTGGTAAATTTTTTTTAATATCTCAAGTAATATTTTTTTCTATTTTTTATTCTTTTTAGGTGTACGTGACAGTAGAGTGTATGTTGACATATTATATGTATTATGGAGTATCATTTCCCATTTTGGGGGTTGTACATGATGTGGTTGTGTATTCATTTATGAACATAGGAAAGCTGTGTTGGGTTCATTCTGTTGTCTTTCCTATTCCCCCCCCCCCATCCCCCTTTGTCTAATCTAGTGAACTTCTCTCCTCCCCCTATTGTGTGCTCACTGCAGCACTGGAGGGGATCCCATGGAGTCCCACATGCTGAGTGTGGTCAGGCAACCTTGGGTGCTCAGCAGAGTGGCTGTTCTGTGTGTTCGTGTTTTACCCATGAATATAAAATCTCTCAAAAAAGGGCAGGGAAATAAGATGCCTCTGCATAATGTATGAGTCTTAGCATTCAGAAAAAATTAATAAATTAACAATATAGATATAATCCACTTTTCCCCTCTCTTTGTTATGCTTCAGGACCCAAAGTAATCCAGACTTCTGCAGCGAATTTTTCACTAAATAACAGCAAAAAGGTAAGCCTGGGTGTAAGAGGCAGCTGTTGGAACATTATGAATTTGGGGGCACTGAGGAATTTGGTTCTCCTTAGAGAGTCCTGAAGACAGATACCCTTGACCTGCAGCTGCTTCTCAGGCAGCAGTGCCTCTCACTGAGCTGCCGGCTTGGGGCTCTTGTCTGTCAGAATCACCTTTTCTGCTATAGGAAACACCTCAGTGCTTAGGAAGTGTGGTGGTATTACTTAGGCAGCAGCAGTTTATTTCCAAAGGGGGTTAACTCCTCCCAATTCCTTGTATCTGTAAGTCCTGTTTGAATGTGTTAACAGCGATTGCTTAGGTAGCTGACCCTTTCTTCTTAGGTGTCCAGGTTGGGCTTGTTCTGCATCAGGTTTCTAGCTGAACAGCCTCTGCATTGCTTGTTTGGTATGCTTTGCTTGGACTCGGCTTAAATGAGCCCCCCAGCCCCTTAAACAAGGCTTGATTCTTCTCCATCTTTAGAGGGAAACAGAGGTTCTCTCATTTGGAGAATTTTGGTTTACTTTAATAAATATCAACTTGTAAAAGCCCAGACAGCTAAAGCTTTTATTCTGCTGTCAACCCTAACCCTTATCCGTGAATGGGGCCCAGTTGTCCTGCGCTTTTACGGCACCGTAACATGGACAGTTTAAATCTCATTGTTTGGTCCCAGATTCCTGCTTCCCATTCTCTCACCTCCTTGTAGCTTTACCTTTACAAGGTTTCAAAAACTGCATTTCAAAAAATGCAAAAAAAGATAAATGTCTCAAAACTTAGACCTCTTAGTTCTTTTTGTTGGGCTGTTTAGCCTATCTTCGCATTTTCTTTACTTTCCTTTATTTAACTCTGGGGCCAGTGGTTTAATGTGGAGAGGTGTTCCCAAGGAGTTTACTGACAGTAGTTGGCCTTTTTTTTTTTTTTTCTTTTCCTTTTTTCTGTACTAAGGATTGAATCTAGGGCCACTGAGGCACATCCTAAGCCCTTTTTATTTATTTTGTTTTTTTAAACTTTAAGACAGGTTCTCACTAAGTTGCTTAGGGCCTTGTTAAATTGCTGAGGCTGGCTTTAAGCTTGTTATCCTCCTGCCTCAGCCTCCCGAGCTGCTGGGATTGCAGGTGTGCACCACCACACCTGGTAGTAGTTGGTCTTTTTAATTGCTGTCTGTCAGGGTATCAGTCTCTCTTTGATACAGAAAATAGCAGTCATTCCATCAGACTGACTTGCTTCCCGGAGACCATCCTCACTTCAGAAAGATAGGACCTTGCTGGGTACGGTGGTATACACCTGTAATCCCTGGGGAGGCTGAAGCAGGAGGAACACAAGTTCAAGGCCATTCTCAGTGACTTAGTGAGACTGTCCTGAAAAATAAAAAGGGCTGAGGCTATGGCTCTGTGTTAGAGTACCCCTGGGTTTAGTCCCTGGGGTTGGGGGTGTATTTTAGTCAGCTTTCCACTGCTAAAAGACCTGACCAAAACAATTGTAAAGGAGGAAAAGTTTGAGGGCTTACAGTTTCAGAAATCTCAATCCATAGACAGCAGGCTCTGTTCCTTGGGGCTCAAGGTGAGGTAGAGCATCATGGCAGAAGAGTGTGGCAGAGGGAAACAGCTCACATGGTGAACAGGAAGCAGAGAAAGACTCCTTGCTCCAGCTACAAAATATATACCCATAGCCATGCTCCCAATGAACCACTTGGATTAATTCACTGATTAGGTTCAGGCTATAACCCAATCATTTCTCCTCCAAACTTTCTTCCATTGTCTTACATGTGAGCTTTTGGGGGACACTTCACATGGAAGCCATAACAGGGTGGGAGGAAAAAGAAAGACAGTGTCTCTTCCTCCGATAGATATAATTTCTGGTGGCTTTCAGGGAAGGCTTTGGTCCCAGAGAGCTTCTCTTGGACCCTGACAGAAGCATTAAGATATGAACCACACATCGACCAGTAAGGGTGGTGCCTTCAAATGATGCTTTTCTTTTAATTTGTTTGTTTATTTATATTTTTTGTGGTGCTGAGGATTGAACCCAGTGCCTCACACATGCAAGGCAAACACTCTACCACTGAGCCACAACGTCAGCCCCAAATGATGCTTTTCCTTGGGATCATAGGTGGCACCTGACTGTTAGACACCAGCATTATGTTCTTCAAAAGACATTGTGGAAAGACCGCTGACAGCATAGTCTTCTCTGGTTTTCCTCTCCAGGGACAGTTAGACTTCAATAAAGCTGAAAACAATTGATATCAACAGTGCTATATTTGGCCTGCTGACTCCAAAGAAATAATTACCAAGATACACATCTTGTCAGTGTGGAATATTTCTTTGCTGTCCTTTCTTACTCTGTGTCTCCTCATCCTGCTCTTTCCACTTCTTCTCCACACTGGTGCCTCCTTGGTATTTAGAAGGTGCACCCTCCAAGGCTCAAGGTGGTGGAAACTGCCTGCTAAGAGATTTTGAAGAGACGAAGGTGGGTTGCAGCTGGAAAGTGTCCTTTCTTGTTCTGGAAGGCATCTTTTCACCAGGTTGTCCAAAGGAAAACTCTGTGTTTCTGTTTCAGAACTACTGCTCAAGCCTTCTAGGGCAAATGTGAACGGTGTATTAAGAGAGTTGGTAGGCTCAGTGAGGAGGTCACATGGATTACTTAATTTCTTTCATTTTTTTGCTTTAGCTAAAGCCAATTCAAATACGTTCGAATCCACTATCTACATATAATCAGCAACTGTGGCTGACATGTGTTGTTGAGTTGGATCATTCAGAAGGTATGTAACCTGCCATTTCAGGTACCAAATCTCATATTTAAGAGATTGGTGGGATTTTTAAAAACTTGGACGTGTGCTAAAAGATAGGTATATAAGGGTAATAGGTATACAGGGATATTCATTATTATTCACAATAGGAACAAGTTGGAAGCCCCTTAAATATGAAATGGAGTGGTTGATGATCTGGTGTAGGTTTTGACACAGGCCTCTTGGTCTTGGGCGAGTAGATTCCGGTGGACAGGCTGTCCTCTGCCTGGCAATACGAGGTTTCAAGGCGGCAGAGGGTAGCGTGGCCTCAGTGCACTCTGGGGCTCTCATGTGTGCTTGGCTCAAGGCCACAGCAGAGCCCCACAGGCACCTTTGTCAGTGGGTGGTACTGCCCAAGGTGGTCTGTGACACTGAACTTCTTTCTTTTGTAGAAACTTCTATTCAGACGAGCTTTTCCATGACTGTCAAAGTCAACGGTGTGGCCCAGGATGGAACCACCATGTACATTCACAACAAGGTTCACAATCGGACGAGGACCCTCACGTGTGCAGGGGTGAGTGTGTGGATGGCTCCACAGCCCCCAGCTGTCACAGACTTGTTTCTCCAGGGTGGAAGGCAGAGCCCAGAGACTTTGAAAAATCACTCTTAAATAATAAAAGAAAAAAGAAAAAAAAAAGGAAGAAAATTGAAATGAAGGTCATGAAAGACTCGCCTAACCTCATGTGCTATGCTCCTAGAAACTCACGCCTGTGCGCACCCAGGTGCACACACACATGCAGACACACGTAGTGAGCTTCGCTCGCTCACCCGCAGCCCACCCTGAGCACCCTCAACACTGTTCTGCTGTTCACGTAACTGACTGCCAGGTGTGCCCACAGGGGATGCGGATGGGCTGTGCCTCTTCCGAGTCATTCTCCATCACAGGGCTGCAGGTCACTTGTAGTTGGTGTAGAGTCCCCTGATCCAGAGTGCCCAGGCCACACAGGCTGATTGGCTCCTTTTGGGGCACCTACTTCAGGGTGCGCTGTGCTACGGGGCAGGCTCCTGAGGGTCCAGGGAGGAGTGAGCCTGGCTTCTCATTTCGTTGGCACTGCATTCTGTTGAGCCTCTCCCTAAGATAGCAGGGAGGACACCTCAGACTCCCCAGGTTACTGGCATCAGGAGGAACTCGGAGAGAACCCAAAACGGCAGGTCATTGGCTTGAGGACTGGACGAGGAGGTTAGGAGCTGCCCAGTGTGTGGAGCGGTGTGTTGAGGCTTTCCCTGCACACATCTTAGGTCCTCACAGCAGGCTCACAGCTTAGGAACTTGTAGTAGAGCCCATTTTATACAAAAAGGTCAAAGCCATTGCCTGAGGTGACGCAGATAGTAAATGCCAGAACCAGGATCTAAGCCTCTTTTGTCCTGAAGCTGGTGGCCTTAACCGAGATGCATCCTTCCTGGTTGGTTACAGTAAGAACCAGGAGCCTGTTTGTCCTTTCAGGGGGGCTGTGTGGTGGCTAGCCACCTCCTCTTGCCCTTCTCTGTTGATGTTTAACAGAAGAGACTGAAAGGGGTCAGAACCTGGCCCGAGGGCCTGGCTGTTGGAAAGGTAAGCTGGGTGACAGTGTGGCCCCTCCAGCAGAGTGCAGCTCGCTGCTTTCCTGACCTCGGCAGCCACAGCTGCATCCCTTCAGGACGGGTAGTATCTAGAGAGGGCTCCAGAGGCAGCTGACCTCTGTTTTGCCTACCTCCTCTGACCTGTGTGAGTGACCTGAGCCAGCTTCTGGAATGTACTGTCCACACCTGGAAGTGGGAGTTAGGCCTCCTGCCTGTCTTGGAGCGGCGAGATCAAGGTGAACAACACACGAGAGGTTGTGGGGTGTTTGTGCCAGTCTGAGGTGTCCACACTTCCCCGCCTTGCCTGGGTGCAGGAGGTGCTGAGTCACATGGCGTTAGAAAGGACCATTGTCCGGGCAGCCAGTCTTCTCCTTTCCCCAGGCAGGAATGAGGATTCTGCCTCCAGCACTGGCCTTGCAGACGGGAGACTGTGCCACAGCTGCTAGACTGCCTCTCCTCCTATTGTGACTGGTCACCTGCGGTTGCCTTAACTCAGGGGGTTTTGGTTTTAAAACCAAGACCAGTTGGTTACCCACTGAACCCTCGGCTTTGGGGAGAGCCAGGATGCTGAGGGCAGCGGTGCTATCCTGCTGCTCCCACAACACACACCTACCAGTGCACCCTGTGGGTGACCCTCCAGTATCCCTCGTGTTTCTTCCCACTCCTGTTGGTGGCCCCGTCTCAGCTTACGCTTGTCACCCATGGAAACATCTCTTCTGTTCCCTGTCAAGTCAGGTCTCCCCCTAACCCTGCAAGAGGCATTGTCCTGACATAAGAAAACATAGCATTTTTCTGGTGCAGGGATATTTACCCACTTCCTACCACTCAGCTACAGACCTTTTTATTTTGTTTTGAGAGAGGGTCTCACCAAGTTGCTGAGGATGACTTTGAACTTGTGATTTCCGGCCTCAGCCTCTTGCGTTGCCGGGATTACAGGCGAGACCACCATGTTGTGCTGCCCTCTCATCTTTTGAAGACTTTTTATGTAAAACCTGGGTCTGTTTTCTTACCCTGTCTTCAAACAGTAGAGGCTGAACAACTGTGGGCTGACTGCCCTGTTCAGAGCACAGCAATAGCAAGCGCCACCTGGAAGCCACAGAAGTTCTGGACGGTGGCTGTACTCTTGTGGCACAGGGAGAACCCATTTGCTCAGGTGGTAGAGTGGTGGTCAAGGGCAGGCTGACCGTGTGGCTTGGCTGGGGCAGAGCGGCAGAAGTCAGTGACTTGTGAACCTGGCTAGTGAGTACACCTCTGTGCCCCAGAGTAAAGGCTCATCCTGCTTGCTGCTTCCGAAGGGACAGCAGAATAGAGGAGACCCTGAAGGACAAGAGGACAGGGCTCTTGGCAAACCATTAAGTCTCCACAGAATCCACTTGCAGCTGTCCACACAGCCTTTGCTTTTGATGTGGGGTGGGATGGGGAAGGACGCTGAGCAGCGAATGGCAGGCTAAAACAGGGGAGGGACAGATGTCACTGCTCTGTGTATGGTTACAGTGATTTCAAAAGTAGGCCAGGACAAGTGCATCTGCAAGTGTCCCATCTGTGGTGTCTTGGCTTGCAGTTCCCTGTGCCATGTTGCCATTAGGGATATCAGGCTTGCGGCGTTGCTTGGTTAACATTTTTATGTAGGTGACATATTTTCAATCATGCAAAGTAGGACAGCTCCAATTAGTGTAGATCATATACTGTTTCCAAATATACCAATTGGCACATGCTTTCTAGGAACTAACTGTCTGGGCTGGCATCTGACTTCCTGGCTCTTAGAGAGCTCCCGGGAGATGTGTCTTGCTCATCTGTTGTTGAGTCATTACTTGTGGGTCAGTTGGTGGGTGAGTCCTCCTCACTTGCTTTAAAAACACAGATCTTCCATGTGTTTGCAGAAATGTGCAGAAATTATTGTGGCTCACCTCGGCTACTTAAATTACACTCAATACACCGTGACTGTGGGGTTCGAGCACCTGAAGCAGCTCATCAAGGAGATGAACTTCACGGTAAGTACTCAGCCGACCGCCTGCTTCCTTGGCTCCTTTGTTGAGTGAAACCCATCACAAGGTCTGAGAGGTTATTTTGAACAAGAAGGCCACAATTTCTTAAGTACATGGAATCAAGAATAGCTTAAAGAAATAGCACAGGAATTGCAAAGACCTTAGGTGCTCTGAGATTTAAAATAGAGTGTACTAGTGTTCCAGTTGGAAGGTTACTTGCCCTCTTGCGAAAACAGGACTCCCTGCTCAGCCCCTGTCAGTGGTCATCAGCCTGCTGGAAGGTCCAGTGAGGAGAGGGCACTGTACTTTACGCATATCCAGCTGAAACCCGCCTCCTGTTCCTTCAAAAAACCAGCAGAGCAACTAGGCCCCAGGGCTTCAGCTTGACAGAGGAACTGCATTCAGATCCTGGCTGCATCAACGACTAGTTCAGCTTTGTTGATGCTTCCTTTTCTGAAAGGTAGCTACCTCCTAGTGTTACGAAAGTTAAATGACGCTGCTAATGGGTACATTTTCTTTTTGGCATTGAGATTGAACCCAGGGGTGCTTTACCACTGAGGCAGATCCCCACCAGCCCATTTTATTTTTTATTCTGAGATAGATTCTCGCTAAGTTGATGAGGCTGGCTTTGAATGTGATCCTCCTGCCTCAGCCTCTGGAGTTGCTGGGATTACAAGCATGTGCCTCTGTACCCAGCTTACATTTTCTTTTTAAATAAGGGCTTTATTGAGATACAATTCACAGATCATAAAATTTACCCTCTTAAAGTGTGTGATTCAGTGGTTTTTAGTATGCACAGTCGTGCAACCAATGCCACCAATTCAGAGCATCCCCATCGCCTCTGTGAGAAACCTGTCAGCAATCATTCCTACTTCCCATCCTCGCAGCCTCTGGCAGCCACTAATCACTGATCTTCCTTCTGACTCTGGTTTGCCTGGCTGGGACTGTCATGTGATGAGGATTGTTCAACATGGAGTCTTGCCTTACTGGCTGTTCTCTTAGCCTGATGTTCTTGAGGTTCATCAGGGTTGATGAGGGTCTCAGCGCTCCATTCCATTGTTTGTTTTTGCTGAATAATATTTCATTATAAACCACATTTTGTTTGGGTTGTTTCCTAATATACAGATAATGCAGGATGGACACATGGACAGGGATGATTTACACCCCAAGTGCAGCAAAGCAGGACAGTGGGAGATTTCACCACAATATTCAGAGTGGTGCACAGTTTAAAACTTATGAATTGTTTCTTTCTGGAGTTTTCCATTTAATATTTCTGGACTCTGATTGGCAGAGGGCAACTGAGACCATGGAAAGCAAAGCGGCAGATAAGGTGGGGTGTTGGGGGGACTGCTGTACTCACAAGACAGTGCGCCTTCTGCAGACAGTCGGTGGTCCTGACTGTGCTCACACTCACCTGGGCTGTAGGCCTCTACACCATGCAGACCAGTTTTACTCATCTTCCTGCCTTTTTTTTTTTTTTTGAGCTTTTGTGGTTCTCTGCACGTCACCCAGTGTTTCTTAGCACCCTGGGTCCTCACGGGCAGCTGGGCATCGTTTCCTCTAATTAAGCACCTTGCAGTGACACTCTGTAGTCAGCACTTCACATTTCCTCCTTTTCCTTCCTAAGCCATCACCTTTGACCAGGGGACGAGATGAAAACAGCAGCCCCAGTTCTTGGCCCTTCAGTCCTTTCCCTGGTGGTCACTGCCGGCTCCCATGTCTGCTGAGAGGCCTGGCAGCAGGCAGTGCCTAGTTAGGGACTGCCGGCTTCTTGGTCTGCACTTGGTATGTTCTCATCTTACCCCGACCTCTCCCGAGGGATCTATGGCTTTCCCATTCCAAGGACTCTGCTGGAGGGGCAGGCCAGCTCCTAGGGACAGTCTGGCTGATTGTTTTTCTCAAAGTTCGCTCATCCCCGTCTGCACAGGGCCTGGCTTTGTTTGCTGCACACAGTATGAGGAGTGTTGCCTGGGGGGCTGGTGACCAAGGCCACCGCCCGGAGACTGGTGACCTAGGCAAGACGTGGGCGCTTGTTCCCAGTGTACCTTCACGTGCCACAGGCAAGCCCAGTCTCTAGAGCACAAAGACGGCTTTGTGACGACTGAGCAACCTTGATGCAAAAGCAAGCGTGTGGAGCGCAGGGCTCAAGATTCGGAGTCCTGCAGCCCGAGGTTTTTCTGGGAATCCTAGGCTTTATTTCTTGTGTTGACTTTTACTTTCAGAAATATCTGCTGGGGTTAGGAACATAACACCAAGCAACAAAACCCCACAGTGAATTCCACAGAATCAGCTCCATACGGTGGGCCTGGAAACACCCACAGCCGCCTCTGCTCTTCCTGCGCCCACGAAGCCCTCCGCCTCCCTTCCTTCCTCTGGCCCTGACCTGCCTGACCCAGCGCGGGTGGCGGGCTGGCATCTGCAGCGAGGGCCTGTTCTCTGGGCTTTGGCTTCCCTCTCAGGCCTGGGCACAGATGAATAGCAGGTCCAGCTGCTGGGGTGGACGCTGGAGGAGCACATGGTGATTCTCCTCAGCCGTCGCTGATAGGACCCGCAGAGGGAAGGCTGTGAGGAGGAGTGTCCCAGCAGGGGGACACATGGATAGGGCTCACTGACCCAGTGCAGGGCTGGGCTCTGGGGTCTAGTTAGGAATGTGGCTGGTGACTGGGTTGAGGGGCTGCCTGTCTTCTGTTCCCCCTGCGGTTAGCAGGTGGCGCCTGCAGCCTCTGCTCACAGGGGGAATAGGGACTGCACTCAGCCGACAACCACAGACTTTTCTGGTTTCAGATTCCTAAACATGCTTAGACTTTTCTGGAAAATCCTAACACTTTGCACCTTATAAAAATCTATTTCTTTTAATAGGAAGCGTGGCTTTTTATAATAGACTGACAAGGTTGGTTTTTGATATGAGATTTAAAATCCAAATGCCCTTATTATTAGAGAATTTATCTGTTATATTTATCATTTAAAACTATTTTATGTTCTTTATAATTAATCTTTTTACATCTCTGTTCTTAACATAAAAGTAAAAAGTACGAAGTTAAAATTTAGCAACATGGGGCTGGGGCTCAGTGGCAGAGCACATGCCTCACACCTGTGAAGCACTGGGTTCGATCCTCAGCACCACATAAAAATAAATAAAGATATTGTGTCCATGTATAACTAAAAAAATTTTTTTAAAAATTAGCAACATGTAGGAAAAACAAAAGGAGAGAACACCTGTGTACCTGGAGGTGACTTCTGGTGGAGGTGAGGGAGTTTCCTCCTAGGTGTGTTTTGTTTTTAAAGTTGCTTCCCCACTTTCTATCTCAGTGGAAGACTTATGACCCTGCGTTCTCCAAGCTGGAAATTTGGTTCCGTTTTGTCTTCGTGGTGCTGACCTTCATTGTCACGGTAAGTACCATCTCCTGGTGGGCTGGGGCCAGGTCCTGGCCGGGAAGGATGAGGCTACTTTGTGCAGTTACGATCATCAGAGAGCAGGCTAGAGCTCCAAGACTTGCCATCTAGCAGCCGGCTTGATGCCACTAAAGGTTCCGTGTCTGCCAAGATGCTGACACAGCAAGAACGATGTGGTGTGTTTAGTGAGGATTTCCGTACAGTTAACAGCCATTCAATCACTGATGTCCAGGTAAGTGTTGTCATTGTGCAGTGACCATTGCCATCGAAGCTGCCCTATCTGCCTTCTCTGGTGCGGACACAGCACACTCTGGGGCTCTCGTGTGTGAAACATTGGGCTTTTCAGGAATAAGGTCATAGAGAACTAGTTTTAGAAGTGTGGGCTTTTGACTTATTTGGATGCCAGGTGTTTGTCCCACAAATACCCTGTAACTTTGAGGGGGTTTGTCCCACAAATACCCTATAATTTTGAGGGGACACAGTGGCCCCTGGGAACACGGGGTGCCCCAGATAGGGACTGAGAAGCTCTAGGAAGAGGAAGTGAGCTGCGTTTACTGACTGATGCTGACGTGGTGGGAGGGACAGTAGGACGTGTGTCACTCTTTACAGTGGCAGCCCCTCCAGCTGCCACCTGAGGACAGTTGGTACTTTGCAGACTCTCTGTGACGAGCAGGATAGAGGGGACTGACCGGCATGTGAGAAGGGGCTGGAGGCAGGCATGGGCCCGAGCATCGGCCAGGAGCTGGACTTAGGGTGCTTGTGCCAGGCCTGGGGCCTCGGGGACTCCCAGGGCTCCCCTGGAGAAGTTCCTAAGTGCAGAGGGCCACGGGCATTTGTATCTGGTTGTAGACTCTCACTGTTTCTTGAGGCCTGCCTTGTGCCTGGACTTCTACTGCCATGGTCGGGCCCAAAGACTGGCACTTGAAGCCCTAAGTGTGCTCCACAAAAAGATGCCGGCCTGGGTGGAGGGAAATGGCCTCAAACTATGAAATATGGATTCCTTGAAAATTATTGGCCTATGTCACATTACAGAAAATTTTTAAAAACTTCAGGCCTAGATGTCACAAGTAGCATAATGTGTCTTAAAGCAGTTTATACTCCTCCTCTGACAAGGGGTTTGACTTTCCTCGGGGAGCCCAGCACCCTCTTTGGAAGCAGACACCATCTGTACAAGTTTCCCTTCCTGGGTGTGTGGCCTCCTGGTAGGCTCCACAGATGTCCCTGTGCCCCAGAGACTTCTGCCAGCTGCCATCTGGGAACGGGCCTGACAGAAGCGGCCTGTCCAGGTGGAGGGAGGGGCTGGTACCCTTTCCTTTGGCAGAGAATTGAAAGCTGCTGTGTTCCTTCTCCCCTGCCTCTTTGAGAATGGCCTGTGGCCCCCCTGCAGCAGTGGTCATTGATGGCCTCCAGGACCTCAGTGGTCCACTCAACCAGGGTGTCACCCAAAGATTCTGGCCTGGTGTCCAGGCCTCTGCAGGGGAGGCTGGCCTGGTGGGGAGGCTGGTGGGCAGATGGCCACGGGCCTCGCTTGGCTTGCAGTGCCTGTTTGCACATTCCCTGCGCAAGTTCTCCATGAGAGACTGGGGCATCGAGCAGAAGTGGATGTCTGTCCTCCTGCCGCTGCTGCTGCTCTACAACGGTAGGTGCCGTTTTTATCTTGGAACTTGCCCTCACATTTAAAGGTGGCAGATGTCTTGGAGGTGGCCTGGTCCCAGAGTCCCCAGAAGCGCCTGTGGGGAGCCCCTGGAGGAACGTGTAGAAGCATGCTCCTGCCCCCAGACGCCGTGTTGCACAGGCTGTGGCAGATGCCTGGCTCTGCAGCCAACAGCGGCTGCTTCCCGGTTAAGACTTGGACGAGCTGCAGGCACAGCAGTCCCAGAGCTCGGCTGAAGCTGCCCACATGGCTGGCTGTCTCTGTCGCTGCTCCAGAGAACATTTACTTCCTGAACTGCAGTGCTTGGAATTCCCAGGCCTGCAGGAGGAGCTGAAGCAGGCCAGACGGCTCTCTGTCGAGAGCTCTGCCGCCATCTGTTCCTGGCTTTTAGGTGTTTTGAAAACAAAATGGCCTTTGGTTTACTACCTTTCCTTTGGCCCTGACCAGGGAGAAAGTGGTGTGGCCTGGCGGGGGTGAGTGCCCTGCTGGGTGCCGGCCACTCTGTGGCCTTCATCGTCTGTCTTTGGCCTTCCAGACCCGTTCTTCCCCCTCTCCTTCCTGGTGAACAGCTGGTTCCCAGGGATGCTGGACGACCTCTTCCAGTCTGTGTTCCTGTGTGCCTTGCTGCTCTTCTGGCTGTGTGTGTACCACGGAATACGGGTCCAGGTGAGCTTCAGAAAGACCTGCCTTTCCTTCCAATCCCTGATGGCAGTCCTTCAGGTGCGAGAAGCCGTGGAACGCTCCCTCAGCCTTGTCGAGTCAGCAGCTTGCATGTCTGTGACCTCATGTGCTCTGTGAGGGTTAGTGCTGTGTTGGAATTATTCTATTTCTTACCTTCTTTTCTTTTTAGGGAGAAAGAAAGTGTCTAACTTTCTATTTGCCTAAGTTCTTCATTGTGGGACTCTTGTGGCTGGCTTCTGTTACACTAGGAATATGGCAAACGTGAGTAATTCTAGTCCGTGTGGAACGTGGTCCTGAGGAGCACTGGCAGAGGCCGGCAGACCTGGGTCTGGCTGTACTTTGTGGTCTCTTCAAAAAGGAATCCTCTCCCTGTGTCTCCCGGGTGGCCGGGTGACTGGGACTGAGGAATCAATTCTGCTCGAATGGGTTAACGAGACACAGAGACACAGGCTGCCGTGGAGATGGAAATGAAAGCCTGAGTCAGTTAGATTTCTCCTTCAGAGAGACCAGGACTGGCTCTGCACTGTCCAGCAGGTCTGTCGGCTCCCGCCTGGCTTGCACTTTTACATTCCAGTCCTTACGCAAGCTCCAGGTTTATCCTTGTTAGTGTCATTGTCCTACTGTAAATGGCACCAAGGCAGAAGCCTGTGTGAAGGCCTGATTCCCAGAGAGGACTGTCCTTGGAGGGGTTCCCTGCAGGGGTGTGGCTTTGTGGCCGGTGGGCCCCACTTTATGACTTCACCCCCGTCTGCCCCACTTACCCGCCTCTGCTTCCCCATCAGTTCCCCTGCCGTTTTCATTTTGAAAAGAAATCTCATGGAAATTCACCTTTTTTTGGCTTTCCTTGTGTTTTCACCTATTGTGTGATGCCCAGGTACGTCATCAAAAACAGCTCTAAACTGACAAGAGAAATGGCAGAGGGGTTTTGTAATAAAACATACTACGTGTCACCATACTGGAGAATGGGGACAGTTAGTAGTGTTGAGTGCTTTTTGAAGGTGAAATATACAATTTAGGATTCCTCATAAATTTAGGATAGCTTTTTATTAAAAATCCTTCATTGTTGGTAGCAAATAGTTTATGTTGATAAGTAAAAATAAAATGGCCAAATAAGAAATAAAAGAAGAGCTCATTAATAATCTATATGTTTAAACATCATTTTTAGAGTTAATGAATTACATGATCCAATGTACCAGTATCGAGTTGACACTGGAAATTTTCAGGTAAGAATTGTTAATGAAGAGTAAGGGAATTTTTTTAAAAAGTCGTGTGTGAAATGACTGAATTTAATAACTTATACTGTTGACGAGATCTTGCTAACTGGCTATTTGGGAAGGATTATCTAAAGTTCAGGAGTAGAAAGTTTGGGGAAAGTGAATAATATAAAAAATAAGCTTTTAAAACTGCTTCAGGGACTAGGGCTGCGGCTCAGTGGCAGAGTGCTTGCCTAGCGTGCGTGAGGCACTGGGTTCGATCCTTAGCACCGCATACAAAAGTAAGCAAATAAAATAATGGCATACTATCCATCTATAACTACCAAAAAAATATATTAAAAATAAAAAAGCTAGTCGGGCATGGTGGTGCATGCCTGTAATCCCAGCAACTTGGGAGACTGAGGCAGAATTATTGTGAGTTCAAAGCCAGCCTCAGCAGATTAGCAAGGTACTTAGCAACTCAGCAAGACCCTGTCTCTAAGTAAAATAGAAGAAAGGGCTGGGGATGGGTCTCAATGGTTAAGTACCCTGGGTTCAATCCCAGGTACCAATAAATAAATAACTGCTTCAACTCCCAGTCTTTGGTTTCTGTTTGAAGTGCCAGGACACATGGAGGGTATGTAAAATTTTAGAATAATTAATAGAATATTTCTGCACGTGTTTCTACTCATGGAGGTTTTCCTGAGTAGGTAAATGGTGTGGTCAGGGCGTGTCACAGGTGAGCATGAGGTTGCCTGTGTAGTACCCAGTCGCTGCCCTGAAGTTCTTCCCATGTGGGACAGGGGACCAGGAAGTGCTGAAGGCCACTTTCTAGAGTTCCCCATGGCAGAAATGAGCAGCATGGCTCCGCACAGAGCTGCTGCTGCCTTACCTGACCCACAGCATTTGCCGGGGTGGCCTTGCAGGGCTGCCTTTGTGAGGGGGTGAGATCAGTGCTGCCTTGTGGAAATGCCTTGGAGAAGGAGGCAGAAGAGTAGTGGGTGGCCATGTGTTGACAAGCTGCACTTGTTTGGAGACCATATGTGTCCCAGAAAATAGTGTATATGTCCAATTCTCAACTGAAATCCAGTGGATGTGGTGCCGAGAGCACTTACGTGCCTGTAAATGGGAGGATTTCCGAAGGTTCCCGAATGGATGCCCCATGAACAATGCCACAGTGCCACAGAACTGGGAAGGAGGGAGAGGCATTTGGGACTGGGGAAGAGGACTGCCATCCACACAGAGGGGAGCGCTGCGGCTGCACCTTGGGGATGAGGGCCTGGGTACAGGGAGATGCTCAGGGCACACTAAGTCCTGGGCTGGGGAAGGCAGTTGCCACTGTGTGAAGCCACAAGGCCAGGCTCTCTGAAAGGTCAGGGCCTCAGAGGAGGTTTTCTAGTTGTGGGGGATGGTCATAGAAGGAACATCAAAGAAGGAGCTGCTCTGACATGTCCCATAGGCAAAATTTGACAGATCCTGGTGACAGGTATTGGAGAATGAAACTCCCAGATACAGATAAAGTAGTATAGTGGTTTGTGCTGCCGTGGTTCTTCCATTTTTTACATCAGAGAGGTGTGTAAGTAAGGGAGGTCCTCTTCCATTTCTTGTCTGTAAAGTGGGACAATAATGCAGTCTACTCTTTAGACAAGAACGTAGAGCGCTGGGCCCAGCAGCGGCTCTCAGAAGATGCAGCTGAGGCCCCTGCCTGGTCCTTCCCTTCCCATCCAGATGGTGGGGAGAGCCACTGCGAGGGCCCATCTGTTCCTGAGACACATAGAGGTCAGAGATTGCTGGGCAGGGGATAGAGACAGCTATCTAGGTACCTTCTGTTCTGTAGCTGAGAAAGTAGAGGCCAGACCAGAGCCACACAGGTCCCTCTGGGCAAATCAGAACTGGGTCCCTGCCTATAGTCTAGGTCCCCAGGACATGGCTGTGAGAGGGGGATTCTGGCACAGGGAGGCAGGAAGGGATGGAAGTCCCCACCCAGGGCAGCCTATGACTTGTGGGAAAAGGGCTCAGTGTGGTTGACCACCCTGGAACCTGGCCCTGGCCAGAGGCAGTGATCTTCCCTGCAGCCACCGGGCATAGCTGTCCACCCTCAGAGGGGAGAGCTTTCCCATAGCAGAGCTTCGTGAGTGCGAGCCCTCCACCAGAGGCCTTGAAGAGCTTCCCATTTGGCCCCTCATTTCACAGATGGGAAAACCAAGGTCCAGAGCCTGGGACTTGCCTGAGGACCCTCAGAGTGCAGCCCTGGGTGGTGGTGGGCATGAGCCTCCATCCTCATGAGCAAGGCAGGGCTGCCTCACGCAGGGTGAGGCCAGCAGGGGCCGCCATGGCTTACTGAACCTGCTCTGGCACCAGGCTCCACAGGGCAGCGTGTGTGTCGCTCTGGCTCCTCTGATGGTGAGGCTGGGGGTCCCTGTGGGAGCTGTCTGTTCTCAGGGGTCCCTCCTCTCCTGCATCTGGGGTGGTCTCAGGGCTCCAGGTTCCTCCTAGGCAAGCTGGGCATTGCGGCCTGTAGGGTGCTGCTAGGAGGCAGCCCGGGCGTCCTCGCCAAGCGCCGTCTCCTGTGTTCCAGGGAATGAAGGTCTTCTTCATGGTGGTGGCAGCTGTGTACATCTCATACCTCCTGTTCCTGGTGGTGCGGGCGTGCTCGGAGCTCCGCCACATGCCTTACGTGGGTGAGCACCACTTCAGGGACTGCTCGGTCCCAGTGAGGGGCACACCTGAGGGAGCCTTGGGGCTGCAAGAGGCCCAGTGGGTGACTGGCCATTTGGGGTGGAAGCCAGCACTGGGAGAGCAATGGGGTGGGAAAAGGGCTTGTGGGAAAAGGGCTCAAATTTGACAGATCCTGGTGACAGGTATTGGAGAATGAAACTCCCAGATTTAGATAAAGTAGTATAGTGGTTAGTGCTGCCGTGGTCTGGTCTGGTCCTATGGTGGGCACCCTCAGCCGGGGTCGGGGTAAGTCACCTGATCGTGGGTCCTTCCCTAGCTGGTCCCCACCAGAGAGGTGTGGCGGGGGCTCACTGGAAGCCAGCTGGCCCTGCTAGCTCAGAGCTGCCTGGGCTGAAAGGCCCTGGTGGGGTGGGGGCTTCTGAGGGGTGGCTCTCCTTTGTTACTGTTTTTGAGATCTGTGAGATAAACAGAGTTTGCTAATGGGAGTATTTCTTTTTTTTTTTTTTTTTTCAGATCTCAGGTTAAAGTTTTTGACAGCATTGACCTTTGTAGTGCTTGTCATTAGGTAAGATTGTATTTTTTGAACATGGTCACACTGAACTGTATTCCTGTCTCGAGTGTCTGTCTCCCTCTGTGGAGCTCTTCAGGCTCTTTGTGGCTACATAAGTTTTGTTGTGAACGTCCACAGGATGCAGCTCATTAACCTCAGACACTCGCCCCACTTGCTCTGACACCTGCTGGGTGTGCAGCCTGCCATCACCTGTTGGAATTAGAACCTGCCAGGTGACAAGAGGAACACTCCAGACCCTGGCACTTGTGGCACAGCAAGACAGGGCTCAAGCATGCGTTAGCACAGCAGATGTGGTAGAGCAGCACAGTGGGTCCCTCAGGGGCAGGAGCCAGGCAGGAGGAGCTCCTGTGCCAGGGAGAAAGGCCGTGCTTGGAGGAGGTCCCCTGCTCCTGGGAAGGAGTTGTTTCTTTGAATAAATTCCAGGTAGTCATTTGTTGTTTAGAGTTTGTCTCTGTCCCCAAATCAAGACTCAGAGTGGGGAGAAATCTGGTTATCTGCATTTCTTTTTTGGTGGTTCGGATGTTGGCCTTTTCTGGATGGGAGCCACACAGGGGCTCTATGGGCCTGGCCTTTGCCAGGTTTCTAGCTGGCTCTGGGGATCCCAGGCTTGCTGAGGGGAGGACTCGGGGAACCAAGTGGGAGTGCAGCTTGCCCTTAAGGGAACTCTTTGCCATTCAGCATCTGAGTTCACATGGAGAGAGTAGTGCAGGTATGTTTGAAGTATTAACCCATTTGGCCTCTAACTCCTTACACTGTCATGGCATGTAAGTCCACAGAGGAAGACAGGTGATGACCAAGGGACTGAGTGGCCCAAGGGCCCAGGCAAACAAGGCAGGTGGCTCCTCTAGGTGACAGGGGTAGGGATGGCTCTGAGGAGGTGGAGGGGGCTCCCTGACGTTGAGGGCTGCCTGAGGTGGCAATGAGCTTGGCAGGGGACAGCCCAGCAGCACTGCAGGAGGCTGTGGTGGTCAGGCAGCCTCTGGAGGTCCCAGTGGGCTCTGTAGGCTCCCAGAGGGGTCCAGGTTTTATTTTCAGTGATGAGAAACTCTCGAGGGGTTTGAGCTAGGAATGGGGGGACTGTTTTTATTAAAACAGGGTGGCTGTGAGCAGGGAGGTAGGTGGGGGAGGTGGGTAGATCAGAGGCTGCCAGGGGAGCCTGATGCCTGACTTCGCTTATTCTACCCCCACAGCTGGCCAGAGGTCAAGCCTTCCTAGATCTGAGACGAAAACAAGAAGTGGGAGATTGTGTGTGTGAGAAATTTCCATGCTGGAATAGTAGTATGTGTATGTGTGTGTGTGTGTGTGTGTGCATGTGCGCGTGCACGCGTGTGCACGGGCATGTGTGCAGAAGTTTCTATGCTGGAATAGTGTGTGTGTGTGTGTGTGTGTGTATAGAAGTTTCCGTGCTGGAATAGTGCTGCGTATCAGTGGTGAGCACAGAGTTGGATGAAGCTAGTGCCACTTCTGTATTTCACGTAATGTCTCTGCCCCTCTTTTTCAGCATCATCATCCTTTATTTAAGGTTTGGAGCACAAGTGTTGCAAGACAACTTTGTAGCAGAACTGTCAACTCACTACCAGAATTATATCCTTTTGCCTAGAGCAAGGTGCCAGAAAGCCCTCTGAGCATTTGTCCAGCTCTGGCCTCTCTGGAGGAGACACTTCACTCCTGACTTATTCTCAGGAGGCCTTGTGACCTCCTGTGTGCAGTTCATGCTAAGTGGCAGCTCTCACCCTTTGTTTTGTCTTGTGTCAGTCCTGGGAAGGTTGACTTGGTCACTCACCCTCTGCAGGCAGAAAGCTCAGACAAGATAGGACTAAGCCAATACTCGGGGTTAGTCACCATGTGGCAGAACCTGGGTCTGAACCCAGTGCTCTGGAACTGTCCTCTGTACTGTGCAATCTTCCCTCTGCAGCTGAGGGACTCGCAGCCTTGGCTCCAAACCTGAGGTCAGTCTGGATCCGCCACCTTCCCTGCAGCAGAGGGCCCAGGAGGGACTCTAGGGCTGCTGGAGCTTCCTCTCTCCCAGATGTCATTTCTACAGGGTGTGACAATGTGGCAGGTTGGGCCTGTGGATGTAGGAAGGGCTTATAAAATACTTGGACCTCCTTGTATTCTCTCTGTATCCAAGGCCAGTTTCCCTGTCTTCGTTAATGTGGATAATAGGTGTGTGTGTGTGTGTGTGTGTGTGTGTGCGCGCGCGCGCTTTGTCCCCAGCAGTATGGGGACACTTAAGGAATCAGTGGGGTTTTGTCCGGGGACCACTTTGTCCTTAGAATTAATAATGCATGGCTTTTCAAGTTTTTGACTGAATTCCACACTAAGTTTTTATCAGAGTCTCCAAGGGGCCTGTAGTCCAGAAACAGTTCAGAATGGCCGCTTTGGATTCTGCTTCAGCTCTGCACCTCATGGTTGTGTCTGGAGACCTTGATTCACTTCCTGCCCTTTGCATACATATAACTCAATCCCTCCAGGTCCTTAGTGCAGTGAGAGAACTGCCACCAGATGTGGCCTTGGTGGGCCAGTCCCAGTGATAGGAGAGGTCACGGCTCACCTGTTGTTTCCTAACCTGTGTGAAGTCCTGACATCTGGATTGTGGATTCCCAGGCTGGCTGGTGGTCAGCACTAGAGAGGTCTGGTGTATGGCAGGGGGCAGACTGAAGGCAAAGACGCCAGGCGAGGTGTCCTCACAGATTGTTCCTCCCTTGACGAGCACCACCAGCTGAGTTCTTATCTTTCTATGGCTTGTTGAACTTTTATCTCTACACTCTGGCCTTTGTGTATTCTCCATCAAAGAATGCTCTGTATGGTAAGTCACCCTGGGGTCTGGGTCACAGGCACATAACTGAAACAGAAGTGTCCATTGGTGGGCTGGGGATGTGGCTCAAGTGGTAGGGTGCTCGCCTGGCATGCGTGCTGCCCGGGTTTGATCCTCGGCACCACATACAAACAAAGATGTTGTGTCCGCCAGAAACTGAAGGATAAATATTAAGAAAAAAATAATTCTCTCTCTCTCTAAAAAAAAAAAAAAAGAAGTGTCCATTGGTTCATGGGAATTTCACTGAAGCTGTCATTCATGGTGCCCTCTCTTTGGTCAGAGAGAGGCAGGCAATTTAAATGGGGAGGCTGAAGTTTTGCCAGAGCGCAGCATATGTCGAGCCTGTGTCCGTCAGCCGTTTGAAATAGTCTGTTGAAGACTGGTGTCATGACTGTTCAAAGCCAAGCAAAAACCTACAAAACCAAAACGTGCCAAAAGCAAAACAAAGCAGCCTCGCCCAGGGAACGAGCTGGGCTGGAGCTGCTGGGATGGACGCCTGTGTTGTGCTGTGCTCAAGGTCGCAGCACCTTGTGGACAGCATCTCCTTTGAGCTTCTTGGTGACCTTAGGACAAAGGAAGAGAGGAAGCTTGCTATAGGTCCAGGACAGGGTGGGAACAAATAGGGCAGAGCCACATCTCCAGGAGCCCATTTCCCATCTCCCGCTGCCTGTGTAGACCTAGAACCGTGAGCAGGAAGAGATCACGTGTGTGGCGCCTGCCTTTGCCTACTCTTCTAGAGGCACTCACTGGGCCTGCACAATGCCCCTGCCAGGTGGCTCTGCCAGCCGTCTTGTAGCTGAGAAAAGAGACTCATGCGGAGATCTGCTCAGGTTCACACACAAACACAGGACTGGGCCTGGGCTCCGGCTCCTCAGACTTCTCTCTGGGCTAATAACAAATTGCTAAAGACTAAAAAGGCTTTTTTGGTTTTCAGAGTCCCAGCTGAAAGACAATCCTGCCTTTTCCATGCTGAATGACTCTGATGATGATGTGATTTATGGGTAAGTCACTGTCCTCTGAAGGCCATCTCAGGAGCATCCCCATCTGGCTTTGTAGTTATTAGTCTAAAATTCCATTCGGGGTGTTAGGAAGTCACCTGGCTTTCTGTTTCCACATGGTCCGAGCTTAGATTTAGCAGTGCCTCTTTGTGCAGAAGGCTGGCAGTGCATGGTGGGCCAGGAGGAAAGGGGCTCAGTGGTGAGGAGTGGCAGGAGAGGTGGTGATGGAACACCAGAGGGAAGCTGTGCAGTGGGTTCTTCCAGAACAATGAGGTCATGAGCTCTCCAGGTAGAATGGTCAAAGGTCTCTTTCACGACAGGAGTGACTATGAAGAAATGCCCCTGCAGAACGGCCAGGCCATCCGGGCCAAGTACAAGGAGGAGTCTGACAGCGACTGAGCTCCAGGCAGTGGGCAGGGCGGCCAGAGGCCGGCCGCCTTCCTTCAGTGACCATGTCCTGGCCTCCCCTCGACCTGCTTATGTTCAGACTTTCTTATAAGCAAGGTTCCCTGTTCCTTATTTGTTTACATATTTGTAAAAGAAAAACCAAACCTTGAGAGAAAATGTATATGTTGGGTCACATATGCTCCTTATATGGGAAAAGGCTGATAAAAAGCAGAAAAAGCCAAATCCTTTCTACAGATTTCAGATGGGAGAGCATGTTTTCAGTGGTGAGAGATTACCCATTTTTAGTAGTTACGCACTTTGTTTTTTAAAATAATTCAGTAATTTTGAGCCATGGGAAACCTTCCTCTTCCTTCCCTCTCTTTCCTATGGTACCTTTTTTTTTTTTTTTTAACTTAAAGTGAAGCCTGTTTCTGTGGCCACTCAGCTGGGCAGTCCTTCCCTGGGCAGTGGTCAGGGCCCTCGATTCCCCAGACCCTGGAACCTTCACATCTACTGCATTGGGTGAGCCATGTATAGCACATCTCACTGAGGAAAGGCAGGGGCCAGGCTCCAGCCCTTCACTGCCACTGAAGCAGAGGTGACAGTGACAACAGAAGTGAGTTCTGAGGAGCTCTGATAAGCTGAATGAGAAAGGACAGTTGCAGGTCACCAGCTCTGCGGGCGAGGTTCTGTGCCATGGTGCTTTCCCAGGGTGTGTGCGCACACTGTACAGACGTGAAGATGGGCGGATATCCCTGTGGTCGGGGTAGACAGCAGGGTAGCCCTTCTTGTTCTAATAAATAGTTTCTGCAACTTAGTTGAACATGAAGCCCCACAGAGCTTTATTTTTTTAAATAAAAGCTACATGAATGATTGTTATATTATAGACTCTTTATTGCCAAAAAGTTTTTCAGTTTCCTCTTTGGGAACTAGATGAAAAGAAAGTAAGAGATTTTAAATGGCTATGGAAACACATCTTTGGGTAGAGGTAGCTTGTTTGGAAGTCACTCCCTGTGCTCCAGTGAGTCTCACAGTGGCCATGTGAGCAGATACATTGCCCCATGGAAAATAGACATCTCTGGTGCTGGCAAAGCTTGGGCATCAGAGGTCCTTTTCCTTTCTGTCAGAGACAGTTGATGTTCCCTTGCTCCTCCCTAGCCACACACAGTTATGTCTGTTAACATGTGATAACTATGACCATCCCCCATCTGCTGCCGTCTTGGCCAACACAGAGGCCCAGAAGTGGCTCGTCCCGCTCTCCAGGCAGCACCTACGGTCCCTTCATCTATGCACCAACTCTCATATTTCCATCCAGAGCCACAGGTGACAGTCCACCTCAGGTGGTACTAGGACCTGAGAGATGCTTGAAGGACACTATGCTTTATGACTTCCTTTTTAAACTTTAATGATAATGTACTTTATGGATTTTATTTACATTTGTTTTTAAACACCTTGTATATATGAATGTTTGAAAACAATTATTGCAAGGGTAATTCAAGTTTACATGATTTTTACATCTGCAATGCTGTGATGACTTTTTGATTCTGTATATTGAAATGTTTGTTACCAAATTTTACAATTCCTACTGAGACTACTCCAACTATAATTTTATGTATATTGATAAAGACTGACTTGTGCTGATTAACATATTATGTAATGTAGTTTATGTTTTAATCATTATAAAAGGATTGTCCATGATTTGGAATGCTGTTATCAGTAAATGTAAGATACTGAGGTTTAGCCATAGACAGAACTTTTTTAGTCTTGTCTTTGTCATGTAGTGATTATAAACTGATGGCTAATATTGTCACACACTGATTCTTCATAGCATCAATGAAAGAAAGTATGGGAGTATTTTTTTGTTGGAAACAAGAAAAATATTAGTACTTATGGAAAAATGGTTGCTTATTAAATCTTGCATTTTTTAATTTTGCTTCCCTGGGTGTTATAGATATTGACACATTATATATTCCATGTAAAAATTTGCTTATAAATTACTAAGCATGTAGAATATGTGCCATAGGTATTAGGTTAAAACACTAAATTCTGACAGAAACTTTTGATAGTAACAAAATTGTTTTTCTAAGAGGATAGTAAAGTTTTGCAACCTTAAATTATAAATGGGCTGACTTTAATGCTTTCATGATAATGGATTAAATAACATCGTCTCTGGGATATTTTTTTATATTGGTCCAGTCCAGGGGAACTTGGAAGATGAACAGAGCTATTTCCTGGTTTCCCTAGGGAAAGCTTCATTATCCACATGGATAACAGATCTGCTTGATTTATTATTAAATCATTCCAGCAGCGAAGTGGTGCCATTCTCTTTCTAGAGAAGGGGATATATGAACTATATTAAAGGTTTATAAGGTGATGACTATACATAATTATAGACTTCAGTAAGTTAGAAAAATTGTGTAAACTCAGCGCATTAGCTGGACAGGTTACAAGACAAATGTCACCAGCCTCAAGTGTTTGATGAACTGTTTATTGACGGCATAGTTATGATAAAGGTTATAATGTGGCCAGTACCTTATTTCCTGAATCATTTTCACAGGAAAAATATACCCACAAAAGGGATCATTAAAAGAGACTACTCCATGAACATTTGTTAAAGATTAGATAAAGATACTAAGGTGTATTTGTGTATTTTGAGGGTTTCAGAAACCAGTTGCCTTAGAGATTAGATTTGGGGGGGGTGAAAAAAGAAAATACAAGTCTTTTCTTCAGGCCAAAGGAAAACTTTTCTTCAGGCCAAAAATCTGTGACATCCTGTTGAGCAGTTTATCTTGTCTTGGGGTTTTGGATGCACTGTTGTGATATACACTATGAAAGGGTTTTCTGCTACTGAAAACTTCCTTTTTACAGAAAACAAACAAACAAACAAAAAAACCTGTAAATATTTGTAAAAATGAAACACTGAACTTTTAAGGTCAAAAAGAAAGAACTATGTATTAGATTTTGGAACTGTCAGTGGAACACAGTGCTCCTGGCCACCTGATCAGAGTGGATGTAATCAATCAGGCAAATGTCAATAAATGTTTATTTATGGCAAACTTACTATTTGGGAATGGCCTTATTCTGTTTAATTTATTTTTAGCTTTCAATCCTTATATGTATCTTGATTGTTTGCTGTTTTAGACATGTTTGGCCTTTTAGACATGAGTGTTTTAGTACAAGGGCTTCCGAGACAAGAATGGGGCCTCCCCCCCCCCCCCCCCCCCGCCCCATTTCAGGAGGTAGACACAACAGTGTTACAATTACCATATCTGACTATTACCACATCTGCTGTGGCCTGTGGGAGACCTATGAAAAGGACAATGGACACCTGGGCTTTGGGCACACCATTCTACTTACTTAGACATATGACTTTAAAATCATATATTGGCTTAGCTGCATAATTGCTGTGGACACAAAGTGACCAACTGTGAAAGCATTTTGTAAGCCCTCAAGTACTAAAACACTCTGTGATTGCTACTGAAAAATAACATGGGAGTAAAGCTGTAACGACACAGCTTTGAGCCAGGTGTCTGGCTTGCCCACCTCTCTCTCAACTTCCAGAAGCTGGCAACTTAGGAATAAGGGATGTGATGTTTGCGGAAGATCTAACCAGAATCCAGCAGCACTGTTAGCATCCTGGTCCAGTGGGTGAAAGCAACAAATCCTCCTCCTGGGGAGGACCAAAGTACAGAAGCAATTGTTTTATTGATGCACCAAGGCATTTTATTTGTATGTCTCGAATCCCTAGAAAAAGAACCCCAGGACTTTCCCTCCTGTTTTCGTCATCTTGGTCCATGCCAGCGGAAGTTTTCAGTCCAGTGAACTGAAACCGACAAGGTGGCTGGAGATCTTCTCCCTTTTCCTAGATAATTTGGGGCTTGTCACTGCCTGCTTGATTAACCTGCCTGTGAACATCAGTGATTTCGAGTTCACCAATGGACTCACACTTCATGGTCACAGTAAGTAACCAGTGGCTAACCTTGGATCCCAGCCTACCAAGAACCTGGCCTCACCTCTCTTCCCAGCTCTGCTCTTGGGAGCACCGCCAAAACATTCAGTGCACTCTCAGGGTGGCAGAAGAGCCGAAGGCAACTTTCCTTTTGTGAGTCTTACAGATTTCTGAAGGCACTAACCCAGTATGAAGAATTTGTGACAATAATATAACTATGAAAAACAAACAGACTTGAAATTTGAATAATTTATTATTCTAACAAAAGTATAAAGTATGGAAAATTAGTGTATTTGAATCATTTCAGAGAGTAAAGAGTTTCCCACTAGCAGATTTCAGTTTTTAGCACCTTTGAAAAGAAACAGAGTTAAGACAAGTGGCAATACAAACTCCAGTCTGCCTACAGAATTATTCATCTGACTTCGGATATGCAGTTTATATAACAGTGCAGTCATTTGGTTTATTTGTCTACGTTTTGAGAGTGCTACAAAACATAAGAGAAAGGTGTTCACTGAATTCATGGTGGGTTAGAAAATAGAAAAGAAATGTTGAGACAAAAGAGGTCACAGGCTGGACAAAGAGGTCAGATGGACAGTCCAAAGGCGCTGACAATGCAGTACATGGTCTTGTTCTCCCATCGCACAGTGCAGCTCCCTGATTGGTGGGGGGAGAGAAAGATCAGCACTGAGAATGAGGAAACTAGGGGGGCCATTACTCCAGTACCCACCTCCTTATGGTACACAGATAAAGAAGGCTGGCAAATCTCCATAACAGGTAAGATAACTTGCAAAGTTATGCCTTTGAAGACACAACACACCCAAGCACACAGTTCATAAATCACTCCTATAATATATATTATTTTAAATAATATATATATCAGCATGGTCCAAGCAGGTACTTGAAATTTTTTCAAGGAAAAGGCACAACATGACCTCACCAATGTGGTTGAAAAATCATACCATCAGTAGAGCTGTCCCAGAAGCAGGAACTTGCCGTGTGTAACCCAGCTCCATTCTTTTGCATAATTACACAGGTCACTTAAATTAAAACAAAGAGTTATTAGAAAAATCTTGGCAACATAAATTTCATTTTGCCCACTTTTAATGTATGTACATAGATCATGTGATTGATGTTCATAGTAAAAGTGATAGGGGTAGACTGCTTTGTCCTACTCTCTTTTGACAAATTACATCTCTCTTTTAAATATTTATTTTTTTTAGTTATAGGTGGACACAATATCTTTATTTTATTTATTTTTTATGTGGTGCCGAGGATCGACCCATTGCCTCCTGTATGGTAGGCAAGTGCTCTACCTCTGAGCCACAACCCCAGCTCCATACTTCTCTTCTTTTACAACATAACTTGTTCTAAAAGTTTCCAGACAGATGTACACCCTGGAATTGTACCAGCAGCCAAACAGGCCAGTGACCTATTATGAGGAACTTTCTTTGAAGTTAGGCACTAAATTGCCAAGCTACCTCTCTTTTCTGGCACTGGACACACCTCTGATCAATATTTAAAGAACCACCAACAAATATTTGAGAAACAAAAGTCTATTACCGATATATTTAAACGGTTTTCCCAGCTTGGTGAGTTGGCTTAAGGTTTGTTCTACGACATTTGTAGTCCACTGGTTGACTTTGCTGTGCTGGTAAGCATTACCGCCGATGGCACTTTCTATAGCCTAGAGAACAAAGCACAAGGAGTCACAGCTAAAGAATGCCCCAAACACGTTCCAGTTAGTAACCACAACAGACCATTCTAGGAGCTAATGAAATAATATTTATGTAAAATGCAAGTTTATTCTTAATTACAAGGATTCATTCATTTATAGGGCTAAAGAACAGCCCTTACATGTCAAAACTTAAACATTTGCGACGACATTGTTTATTTTGAACCTCCCTCTTCTGCGCTCTGTTCTTCTAGGGCTATTCTAGGATAGGGCCCACTGTCCCTGCTCCTGCTAGTAAGCTTACTGCTATGAGATTCCCGTCCTATGGCTTTCTGGGTTCTTCCCTGTCAGCTCCCTTTCACACTGGCCCATGTGCCTTTCTAATCTGTTGGGCTAGAAACCAGAAACCTGAGTTTCTTTGACAGTTACGACCTAAAATAAAAGTAACATTCAGTGAGGGCCATGTTCCATCCTCAGACATACAGAGAGAGCCAACAGTCCAAGGCTTGCAATGCAGGTGGTGGTGAAACAGCAGGGTTACGTGGCCAGCGACCCTGCTTCTGAGGAATAAAAACCTACAAAGGGTCACAACCTGATTCCGCCTCCAACTCTTCCTATCTATCCACGGCTCTCTCTATCTATCTATCTTCCTATCTATCCAGTTGCTAACACAGCTCCTGGTTCCTCATCCACTGCCATGTCTGCTCCACCTAGCTCAGAGCATGTGGGGGTCCAGCAGTTCTGCTTTAGGGGGACTAGGGCATTATAGACCTGGAAACTGTCAAAAAAGGGAAGACATTGTTCAAGTCAAACCTCTAAATCTGGCAACTCTCTACACACACTCTGAAATTCACTTTTTCAGGGACGGGGAAAACCCCTCCTTCAGGTTTGGACCTGTCCAAATTATAACTTCTCATTATTTAAAACAGCTTAAATAGAGAATGAACCTGTTACCAGGGGAAAAATGCCACCGAGGCCAGTGATACACTGGCCATATTCACCCCAGGCTTCTTTGTGGGGTGGTGACGTAAACTTTACATTGTTCCTGCTCCCTAGTGAGCAAGTCAAAGTTAATTCAAGAAACAAGGAGGCAACATTAGAACCTAACAAGCCTCCACTTTTCCCAGTTCCAGTCTAATTTACACCTTCCTGCTCCCACCTGTCAGACATGAAACAGTGAAAAACAAATTGTTAAAGACCCCACGAAGAATCCAGAAAATCATGCCTGATGTTAAATAATGTATATAGTAAAAGAGAAAATCACTTTGCATTTGGATACTTTTCACAAAAACAGGTTGTGGTTCTTTATTACTCCAGCATTAGTCGATAATTTGCATTAGCAGTAAATTATCATATGAACCCTTAAATGGTACCCTTTTAGTTAGATTACTGAATGACTTTCCCTTAGCCAGTGGCTCAACATCTGTGCTCCATCTTACCTAGGCAGGAAGTGACTAGGAAAACCTTTTTGATTTCATTACTGCCCCAAGAGTCCCCAGCTCTGCACCCTGCCACCCCTTCTCACACTCCATGCTCAGCCCCCTCCACTGGAGCTTCTGCACACGCTGTCAGAGCCCAGAGGTGGTGTTCCCATTTTTCCACTGTGTTAACCCCAATTTAGGTTGAATCCCCTTGTAAATGCTCTCACAGCACCAAGTCCTGTGGCACTTCCACACAGCAAATGCAAGCTCACATGTCCCAGCACAAGTATCTGATAAGCCGTCCCCCCACTGCAAACTCCAGGAGGGTGGGTCAGTCCCTGGCTGCTCCCTCCACGTGTACTTCTCATGAATGAAGGCAGTTCAACATCCCTTTTGTGTCTCATCCTCCTCATCCTCTAAGGGAGAGACTATGCTGCATAACAATAATGTGGGTAGTTTAGGAACGTAAGAAAAATAACTAAGCCCCAACCACATCACCAGTTCCTAACTCAAAGTTGTTAAATTTCCTTTACATTCACTCCCATTAAACACTAGAAATAATTATTTGTATGCCATGAATTTTCTATGCTAAAAGGTCATAGAACTTAGCCTTGGTAACATTTAATAATATGCCACATAAAATTTCCTGATTAATACATATAATTTACACAATATAGGAATAATTCTGATCTAAGTAATAATGAAGAAAAATGTTATTTGAAATGCCAGAACACACAGGCTCAATAACTGCTGAAAATATTTCCAAGTATTTAACTTATATAGTGTTTTCATTCATAAAAGTCATTAATCAAATGCTTAAAAAGAAAGCATTTCTCCTCTTACCTCTTTGACAATGTTGCTCACTTCATCAACAACAAAAGCAGTCTGTGAGGGAAGAAAACTTAGATAAGTTTGATTTATTCAAAAGATGTTTCTATTGCATCAATAAATGCAAATTTAAGTAACAAAATATAGAAATGAAGATTTTAGAAGTTATCTCACCTAGCCTGTTCACTTTACTGTGGAATGCATTACAAGGAGACTCAAACATTAAGTGGTCCTTGAGCATCACAGAGCCAGTGACTGCAGCTGCAGGACTAGAACACATGTATATAATTTAAAGGTTCTGTTGCTGTTGTTTGTTATAATCATGCTACAATCTCAGATCCCGCTTTAAGTTTGATCTAGAATTTGATCTCTTCTCCCATTCAGTTGGCTGGTAGGATCATTAACCAGTATAGATGGTTACTGCTCAATTTTTAAAAATATCTTTATTTTATTTTTATGTGGTGCTGAGGATTGAACCAGTGGCTCATGTGCACCAGGCAGATGCTCTACCACTTAGCCACAGCCTCAGCCCAACTACTCAATTTTTATATAAATTAATTGATGCAACTTAAGCAAGCCATTTAAAAGATGTAATTCTCTCTTCCCTAATGTAAACTGATTAGGAGGCCTAAAACTCAGAGGTTGGTTTTATTTTTTTAAAGCCACTATTAACCATAAAATTTAAAATGATGGCACTATCTCTGGATAATGATTTTTCTGAATGCTGTACCACTTCACAACCAGCTGACTGAGGAGGTGGGCTGTCAGCAGCAATCTAGTCCAAAAGTATAATTTCCTTTTCACATATGGCAGATTCATAGTTACAGGTCATCCTGAAAATAACATCAGTCAGGAACCTGCCTGCCAAGGTGCTTCCTCACAGGAGAATGAGCAGTTAAAGTTACTGTTGAGTCCTAGGAACAGTACTTAGTTCTGGATATGCCTCCTAGAGGACAGCCCCAGGGACCCTCAGTCAGAGTGCTTGGCAGGTGGAGTAAGAACATCCAGCTCTGCTGTGGCAAGGAGTTCTCCTCCCTGACTGCCTGGTGACCATTTGGGCTCTGCCCTGTTCTAGTGATGTCTCTTTCTTTTCACTAGAAATAAGAGCTGGTTGCCCAAAGTGTATCTTTGCTATACTCAGGAGAAGTCAGACTTGGAAACAAAACCCAATCACACCAAGTTAATGAAGATGTGCAGTATCTTAGAGATTAAAACATTTCTGGAAGTTTAAAGGACCCTTCCAAGAGATTACAGTGATCCTAACCATAAAATAAAGTCCTGTATAATTTTAGAAAAGGTTAAAGTATGCCAAGGGTAGAGGAGATTTTAATGAACTTTTAGTGGAAAGTAGAGCAGTTGTATTGAATCCATTGGACAGTTTCAACTTATATAGAAAAATGAATGAGTTAGGAGTAGAATCCACATGAAGTTAGAGGAATGCAGAAAAGGCTTCTTGAAAGGCTGGTAGGACTAGAATGGCCAATTTAGTAAACACCAAGACGAACCCAAGACAGTCACGGTCTCATCCAACCAGGTGCTCCCCTTCATTTTACAGACATGCCACTGCACTCTGAAATAATGAAGCCACCTCACTATGAAAGCCAGAATTAGAATGCATTATTAAGGGTTTCTTCACAGTACCCCCCCCCTTTAAAAGGTTTATCAATGTTATTATTATACAAGCCATTTTCCAATCCTATATTAGTTGGTGGTTTACAGGAAAAAGCTTCTTTGCTCATGGCTTCTAAACCCTGGCTGCTTAGGATTATCTACTTGGTTGCTGACCAACATTCAAACACTGATGGCATTGCTTTAAAAGTTACTGCCAGGAAATCAGATGTAACAAACTCTAGGCTCAGTCCTTAAGTCTTATTTACCTATCAAAACATTCCTGGTTGAAATGTTGAAAAATGACAAAATACCAAACCTTACCAAATTCATGTTTTAATTTTTGACAGGCTGCATAAAACATAGAGCTCTATTTGAATTTCAGCAAGGATTATTTGGCAAGAAGAAATAAGCAACTATTCTATCCGCTTTTTCCTGAATGCTTGTCAGCTTGAAGAAAAGCCATCACAGCAGCACACCTTACAATGACTACTGCGTGGCAAACGATGGTGTGCTTTGACCCTCCTTCTTGGGGGAGGAAGAGACTCCCCCCCCACACACACAAGAATGGGCTATTTTATTAACCTCTCAAACTCATACCATAATGGAACGTACTCCTTCGCGGCGGCCTGGGTGGGAGTGAGCGCTGCACCGCAGGACCAGGAGCGGTGCGGAACTGAGACAAAGGCAGGTTCTCCTATTTGCACGGGTGCATCTGGCAGGCAGCCTGGACACCAGTCCCTGACTGAAGGGCCTGGGAGGTGGCCCTGTGCGCCCCTGTCACACACTCAGGACACCCTGGCGTCCGCTACAATGCCAAGCTCCAGTCTTCCAGCCTCGACCGGAGCGCTCCCGGGGCCGGGCTGCGGAAGACAGGGCCGAGCGAAGTCGGGCTCCCGGAGGCGCCAGGACGCTCCCTCGGCGGCCCTGGGCGCCGGCCGCGCGGGAAGGAGCCGGAGTCCCGGCCTCCCGCGCCCCTCCCCGCCAGGCAACGGCGGTGGAGCCGGTGCAGGTTGCGGCGGGGCGGCACCGGCGCTCGTCAGCCTCCGGCCGGGGAGGGACGGCCACAGCCCGGCGAGCCGCCGGAGAAACTTAGCCAGGACTCCCTAGGCAGGACCGCGCCACCACGCCCAGGGATCTGGGCCTCCACCCTCCAGTCGCCCCCCGGGCGCTTACCTCCTCGGCAGCCTGGAAGTCTTCCATCTTTCCTCCAGCTCGTCGCCTCCGCCGCCTTGAGTACAGCGGACTGCGCAGGCCCACTCAAGCCACGCCCACGCCCGCCGACGCCTGCGTCCGCCCGCTCCGGCCACGCCCATTCTGGCGCCAGGGCCCCGCCCACGTGTCACACCCACCACGCCGACCCACGCCCACGCCCTACGTCGGGCCCCGCCCCTCCCAGCGCGGCGCGGGCTTGAGTGAGGTCTGAGCCACCTGCTGGACCCGCCGCTGGGGGCCGGTCAGTCCTTCGGGACGTGATGGTTTCCACGCGAACCGGTCAGGGTAGCCTAGCAGCTCACTAAACCGCAGCAACTGGAGCCAAACAAATGTACAAAAGCAAGTCAGGGAGGGGAAGCGTCGCCGTGGCGCCCGCTCCAGCTCGTTCTGTGTGAATTAATTGGAGCTTTCAAACGGGCCCAGACAACTAGCAGTAGACTGTAAAGTGACTTCTGAAGGTAAGGCGTACTGTGAGAGGTTGGTCACCGTCCCTTGGGAACCTAGGATTAGGATAGTCGTCTGAACAAAACCTTGGAGAGGTGAATTCCCATATCCAGTAAATGAGAATTTTTCCTCTAGGTACCGTGTGAAAAAAACACTGTAAGTGGAGAATTTTGTGAAATGCAGCACGCTCCCTGGCTTCCTTAGCCTTAGTGAACTAGATGCAGACCTGACGTGTCCAGAGGCCTCTGTGGAGATGAGCAACGTCACCGAGCTCTACAGGGCTGGGTGTGCGCCTACCGCATGTACCCCAGGCTTGGACTTTTGACTTTGGAGGCTGCTTGTTCTGGTTTAACCAAGCACTTGAAGTTGAATGGTCACTCCTTACTTCTCCAAAGCCCTGCTGCTGGAACCCACTAACCGTCCTCCTGAGAAGAGCTGAAAATAAAGATCCCAGGGACTTGGTAGACTAGGCTCCAGATCCCCATGCTGTCCTCCAGCAGCCCTGCTTCTACACTGTGTACTCCTGACTATCGCTCAAGGTTGGCATCTCTCGCTTAGAGTGCGTGTCGATTGACTGACTGACTGTAACCTGAGTGGTCTATCAGGATCTTAGTAGAGCCCTTCAGAGGGAACCTAACCTTTCCAAAGAAACTTCCATCCTCTCTCCCACTTTGCCTTGCCATGAGTCAATGATTTCAAGAATGTTGATAATCTACAGACTTACTCATGGTGGTCTCCACGTGATTAAGTCTTATCAGGTCTTAACTCAAAATTACCTCAACAGGCCTTTCTGACCACTCCATTTAAGGAAACAAATTGTGTCTACCTCTGTGTCCTTTGCCTTTCCTTCTTAGAACTCCTCTCACTTTTGTTTTCTCTCCATGTGGAATCTAACTTCCATGGAGCAAAATTCATTTTATCCACTAATGTATCTCCTTCCCCTGACATTGTGCCTGGTCCATAGTAGGTGCACAATTAAAACTAAATGAATAAATAACGAATAAATGAATTACCCAGAGATATTTGCTCTGCCTCAGACCCAAATGAAGAGAACTGGGGAATGCAGTGCCTTCTTGTTGGACTCAGAGAACTTCAAGAGGAGGGCAGAACTGAGACAGACCCAAGACTGTTCTGCCCTGGGCAAGTGGTCTGAGCAAGGAGACCTGCTGGACAGGTCGCTTCTGAACTTTATTTTACCTTGTAAGTACTCTTCTTTTACCTGGCTTCAACTCACCTGATTCAGTGTTTCAGTCTTGTACCTCGGTCTACATGCGATTTTTATTCTGACATTCCTTTGTCTTCCTGCCATTCCCAGAGTCACCTGAGATCCCCTTTTCAGTGTCCATTTCTGTGCATCTGGTTCCAGGTCTCCTCCCCACCATGGTTCTGATGCAAACAAGGGACTTTGAACTCTCCCCTTATTTTCTTCTGCTACTTTGTTGTGGGCCTTGAGTTCTACTGGCCAAGTACCTTAGAGTTATGTGCAAAGCAAGAGTAAAGAGATTCTGAGCAAACATCCTCAATCAAAGAGTATGGAGTTGGTGGAGTTGGAGGCCCTTTTCATTTTCTTCACAGCCTTGTAGAACACCCCTCCCCCCACCCCACTGCAGTGAGACAGGGTCTTGCTAAGTTCCCTAGGCTGGCCTCAAACTCATTCACCTTCCTCAGCCTCCCGAGTAGCTAGGTTTACAGGTGCCACTCACACCTGACTCTAGAAACTTACACATTCAAATGAAGTTCCTAAACAGCTGCTGTAATAGGGCATTGTTAATGTATATATCTTCAGCATTGTTGTAACTAAAGCTCACCAGCATGCACATACATCAACAGAAAGCATGTACGTGTGCATTGTAAAATATTTTCCCTGACTTCAACTTACATACTCTGGGTACCCCTCTCCAATTTTTAACTATGAAAGAACATTCATCAGTGCTACAAAGTTGACTAAGACATGGGCTTTATGGAATATTTTTTAAAAGCTGATTTCTGTTAGTAGGAAGGTTTGAATTGTTTAGTCTTATGTAATGTTGTAGTGCTTGAGGGAAATGCCAGGATATGGTATCATATTTTGTCCAATTGATTATAGTGTGTAGGAGTAAGGAATTTAAAATTGATGTGACATTTGGCAGTTCACTAACTGCCATCTTCCCATATTCCACGAATGGATGTCCATCAGAAGCACGAGAGCGTAAACACATTGACTCATAACTGCTCGTAAATCTCTAGCATTCAGTTATATTTTAGATAATGTTTAGCTCATGTGCAGTGAGTCAGTGAAGTGAATCTTGGGTTTGTTTTCCAATTTGGGGGCTAGTCATAGACTGGCAATCACCCTTCTTCCTTCCAGTTAAGTCTCTTACAAACTGTAGAAATAGACTGGAGTTGCTGACACCTTGATTTAGTAAGCATGGGCCAAATAATCATAGCAATCAACAGGTTGTCACATCAACAAATAATATCAATAATATTTTGCTGTGCTGCTCTCCTGTTTAAGATCTGCAGCCCTTCACAATCCAAATTCGAACCTGTGGATATCTGACCTTTTCCTTTCTTCCCCTGTGCCTAGGAGTGTGTTATAAAGATTCACTGTGGAGTTATGCTAAGTCAAGAATGGGAAGGAGGAAGAAAAGAATAATGTCAAGGTTTACTCAAGCCTGAGGAGTTTAATATAATGGGAAAGAAAATGAAGTTCTGACTGACACAAGTAGAGGGAGAGACCTGTGCTGAGAAAGTACATGTTAAGGAGATTATCTAAGAAATGCTTATATTTGGGTCTGCTGTTCACTGATAAGCCCGGCTGCCATCGTACTGAAACACCGCTATGCCAACTGGAAATAGCTGCTGCTCTGGCTGCTGTGGCCACTTCCCTGGGACCCCATCCCAGAGAAGGTGGGGAAGAGGCGGCTTGAGTGCTGGCTAAGAAGGTGCTGCTCCTGAGTGCCGCACTCACTTCTCCACACATTTCACCACCCACCGCGCGTCCTTGGCCACCCCTGAGGTAGCACAGCTGTGATGCTGCCATATGCCACACACATAGCATATTGAAGGTCTCCCTTGTAATTTCATCATGCTGTCCATCCTCATGTTCCTGTCCTCGTCACCGAACCAGCCATTCTGCCCTTTACTGCTAATCAGCTTCATTCCCTCCCCTAGCCCTGTGTCACCTCACTGTACTTTTGGATTTGGTCTAAGTTATACCTGCTCAATTTCAACACACAGTTACATTCTTCCTCTGCCAACTCCTCTATCTGCTGTCTCTTGTAGCCTGACACATTAGATTAGTGGTTTCTAAACTTCTTTAACTATGTCTCTCTAGCAGGAGTAATTTTTGAACATGTATGCTACAGATATGTTTATTTTAAAATGATATAGTCAACTATAAATTTATTTATTGAACACTAATAAAGTTTAAATTTTAGCTTTTAAAAACAAATAGAAGTTTAATATTTTCTTAGTATATTCTGCTGTTATGATCTGAATTATGTCACTCTCACAAATTCATATGTTCATACCTCAATATGACTTTATTTGGATATAGAACTATTAAAAAGGTAAGAAGATAAAACTAAGTCATGTCTGTGACCTTAACCAAAGTGATTTACATCTTTATAAAAAGAAAAGTTCAGGTCACAATGTGCATCGGGATGTCACCATGTGAAGACACTGGTGGAAGATGGCCATGTGCAAGTCATGGAGAGGGGCATCCAGAAGAAAGGCATTTCCAACCTACCCACATCTTGACCTTGGATTTTCAGCCTCCAGAATTATAAGAAAATATATTTCTGTTTAAGCCATCATTCTGGGGTCTGCGTTACATCGATCTGACCAAACTGATGCTGATTTGGAACTAATGATTCTCATTTCAAAAGCATTTTCTTCCAAATATTCTTAAATAGATTGACTAAGCATCTCAGGATACAAACCAGAAATTCTAGAAAATAAATGGTAGTTACTAATTATTGAAGACTTATTTAATCTAGAGGTCCTCAACCATAATCACTATCACTGTGCCTGAAACTTAATATTTACACAGTAAATTTTGTGAATGAATTAAACAAACCGAAAAACTAAGAGGAACCAGAAAATGGGTTCAGAGATGTTGAGTGATTTGCCAAAGTTCGCTCAGATCCATCTTACTCCAAAGCTTGCCCTATTAATTTAGTCTTCCCTATTTATTCTGACCGCACCCTCCACCCATGATTGCTCCTTACCAGGTGGGATTCACCATCTTAAGTTGTCATCGTCCTTAGGCTTCAGAAGAATGAAATTTGAGAACTAAAGAGCTGAAGGATGGCCAACGTGAACTTCATGTGCTCATGAGGAAACCAAGCAGAGCAACTTAAGCTTAGCTGTCAGTTCACTGGGCAAAAGTCACACATTTCAATTAGACTTCACCTCATGAGTGAGTCTGAGACCTCCAAAAGAGCTCACTGGGAGAATGAGAAAAAACAAGCCCATAGAATGGGAGAGAATATACACACACTTTATTCATTTCTAGCCAAGGATTCATGTCCTGAATATATAAAGAACAAAGCAAAGCAAAGAGAGAAAGGCAGATGGTCCAATTGAAGAACAGGTGAAAGACTTCCATAGCT